CTGGACAGTTTCAAGCTGGACCGAGCATGTTAGTTCTGGTTCTGGGAGGGTTGCGGCAAATTTTGGGTCGGGGGAGTTTACCTGAAGCTTGAATTCTTTGACCTCGGCCTCCAGGGCTGCGACGTCAGACATTGTGTTGTGGGAGGTTGTTTTGTTCCGGAAGAACAAGGGTTAAAGGAAAGGGGGGATGAGGAGGGCAGAGTTGGCCGCGTTGAGTGAGGACGTTTGATGGCTCCAGCTGATTTGATTTGATATGCGGAGGCCGTTGAGATTCGCAGATCACGTGATGGTTCCGATCTTATTCTCTCATAAGGTACCCTAAGGTACCTTAAGGTAGGGTATTCTGGCTAGGAGATGCATTCTAGTATGTACTAGGTACTAGTTACTGGTACTACTACTGGTAGTTGAGATTCTGGACACCTCGGTATCTGTGGTCTAGACTGGATGGAGAGACATCTGATATTGGGCAAGGGATCCAAGGATCTTTGGAATCATAGACCCCACCTTGGGGCACCTTGGCTACCTAGATAGGGTCGTGGGTGCCTAGTACTAGTAGTACTAGTACTGCATACTACGCTGAGTGGCCTGATTGCAGCTGGCACGGGCAAGGAGTAAGATCGACCGGGTGCATGCGAGGAGGTCGGAGCATATTCTAGCCGGGGGCCGAGTGGAAACGTCATTTGCCACGAGGTGGGTCCAAGAGAGTAACACTCCGTAGTACTATATGTACATATAAACTTGAAGATAATTAGGACTAGTACTGGTACTGGTTTTCTATAGATGATACCAGTAGTATAGGGAGTAAGTATGGAATATGGTAGGATACTGAATACTACTACTAGTAAGGTAGTAGTACCCTCGGAGGTACCGGAGATATACTATTGGGGACCTATTCTCTACCTAGGTATATATAATGTAGACACACTGGCGGTGAGGTACTCTTATACTGAATACTTAAAACACTGGGCTTAACTATAACTATAATTATAGTAGTACTCACTAACTACTCATAGACTATACTAATACTACTAGTACTAGTACTAGTACTAGCACACTGTAATCTGACTCACAGAACTGGATCGAAGCCTCTTCAGACTGATTTCTAAGCACTCCAAACATTCCCCGCTACCCTGGATCCTCCCCCACTCTGATTGGCTGCCGATCACCTGCCTGCACCAACTGGGAATTGCCCCCCCCCCCCCCCCAGCATCCCATTGCATCCATTGGATTGATACCTCTTCCTCCACTCCCTCAATGTCCAGTTCTCTTCTTTAATCCCGGTCCCCGTTTCACTCACTATCCCGGCGGAAAATACGAGACCCAGTCCGTTTGTGGTCTAGTCAGTCTTAGCCTTCTTAGCCTCAGGCCCCGCTACGATCTCATCTCTTTTTTTCCCCTCCCCGTTGAATCATCATCCCTCCAGGCTCCGGCTTCGTTTGTCCATCACAGGCCTTATAGCCTTCAACTTGCCACTCTTCCGTTAATTCCGTTCTGGAGGGGACCAGAACGCTTCCTATCGGCAGCCCCCGTCTCATTGTGTGTGGGCGAAACGCCCAGTCGACCGCCTCGTTTCGGATCATTCCAGAGAACCGATCTTTCGACCCCCTTCAATCTCTTCAATCATGAGTGACTACGACAACCTCTATCAGGCTGGGATGTATCTGTCCCCGGCCAGCAGGATCTCCTTCTCGCGGCTCTATCATCCAACAACCCCTCCCAAAAGAACCCCAACCATACCCCGCAGATCAAGCAAGATCTCAGCCCCGATCAATCCTCAAATGGTGGCCTGAGTGCCCCCCCGTCGGGTGGATATGAGAACGCTCAGTTTAATGGCTTGGACTTCGGAGAGAATGAGAGTCCCTACCTCGACTTCAATCCAGACGTCGACTTCGAGTTTCCTGGCTCAGGAGACCTGATCGGGGATTTACCCGATGGCGAGTATGAACTCGGGGAGAAGCGGAAGTCGATGGATGGGAAGTCGGATGAAGAGGAGGAGACGGGTAAGAAGCGACGGGAAAGCGAGGCAAAGAAGCCAGGTCGCAAGCCGTTGACGTCGGAACCCACGACGGTATGCCCATCCTGACCACTCGCAAACCAGGCAGTCAGTCCCTAACCCATCTCACAGAAGCGTAAGGCTCAGAACCGTGCCGCTCAGAGAGCGTTCAGAGAACGCAAGGAGAAGCACCTCAAGGACCTCGAAACCAAGGTGGACGAGCTACAGAAGAGCTCGGACACGACTACCCAGGAGAATGGCCTGCTTCGAGCCCAGGTGGAACGCCTCCAGGTGGAGCTGCGTGAGTACAGGAAGCGTCTCTCGTGGATGACGAGTGGCACTGGTCGCTCAGCCATCAGCGCCATTCCCAGCGCTCACTCCAAGGGAGCCTACGGCCTCCAGAACAACGAATTCTTGTTCGACTTCCCCAAGTTTGGTGACCTTCCCGGATCCCATCTGTTTAATAGCCAGGGCAACAAGAACGATCAATCAAAGGCGAAGTCGAGGGATAACGTGCCTCGTGCCCCTGGTGTATTGAGTCGTCAAAATGGAAATAGTCCGGCTAGTTCCAGCAATTCGAAAGCGAGCACCCCCACGGCCGGTCCCAATTCCAAGCCAAGTCCTTGGTCGAATGGGACCCCCGCTTCCGTCAAAACCCCTTATAATAACCTGAAGCCTTCCTACGCCTCGACACACGACACGTCGACCTCGGATTCGCCGTCTTCCTCATCTGACTCGCATCAGAGCCAGCTGCTTTCATCGAATGGCACCTCTCCTGAGCCCAGCGTGAACTCCCCATCAGACCACAAGCCCAATGAGTCCGGTGCGAATACTTGCAGTGTTCATGGATCGATCAATGGCGAACAATCCTTCTGCGCCCAGCTTGGCATGGCCTGCGGCAACATCAACAACCCCATCCCGGCGGCTCAAAAGGGCAAGTCCAAGTCCAACAGCATTTCGAGCGATCAGCCAGCCCCTACCGATGATTATGGGCTAGACTGGTTGTCTCAACAGAACGGTGGCCAATTCGACCCTGTACTGTTTGGCGACTGGAGAGAGCCTCAGGACGCCGTGCTCTCCCAGGACTTTGGTTCTTTCTTCAACGATGCTTTCCCTCTTCCCGACCTGGGCAGTCCATCTCATAACCTGACAGAGGCAACAACCCAGTCGACGCCGAAGCCACAGCCGAAGAAGGATCTGGTGTCTCGAATTGACCAGAAGCTCGAGGAAGAGGTTGTCCCAGGCGAGGACAAGAATTCGATGCTATCTTGCAATAAGATTTGGTACGGTCATAACTCTTTTGACGATCCGATTATCGACCAGTCACTAACGCACTCTCCTTCCAGGGATCGTCTACAATCGATGGAGCGATTCCGCAATGGCGAGATCGATGTTGATAACCTCTGCTCAGAGCTGCGCACCAAGGCCCGCTGCTCTGAGGGTGGTGTCGTGGTGAACCAGAGTGATGTCGATGATATCATGGGCCGCGCGAAGTAAACAGTCGACCCGACCCGGTTTGGGATGGAGACGGTTTGCATACTCTATTATCCCACCCAGACACCTCACTTCACGACTCACGGAACCCGCTTCACGTCCAATCAGCTGTACACGTTATCAATCATACCCATCATCGAATTGTCATTTGAAAATATCCGGCGTCATACATACAACTCAGGAAATCCCTCAAAATGAGAGGAATCATCGGCCATGCGCACCGCGCTGCACCGCACTATCATCTACTTCGAAATTGAATCCGTACTGGCGCACTATTGGCCCACTGCCTCGGAGGCACTTTGAATTCGTTCTATTGATCTTCAGATTTTTCCCTTTCTTCTTCTACTTCTTTTTCGTCGTCTTCTTCTTCTTCTAGCTCTTTTGTCTTCGACTGCTCATGTTGCTAATGTTGATATCTTCATCATTTCTCTCCTTCAGCCCGGCGAACGGAGACCCGGTTCTCGTTGTCCTGCGATGCAATCTAGCAGAATGCTGGCGCATTTTATCTTATCACCGGAGGAAAATATGGTTGGCGAATGGAAAGGAATGGCCTGGAAAGGAATCGGAATAGGTAGTTTGATACTTGCACGCTTTCTTTTGTGCTGTACCCATGTAAACAAATCTGAGTACTTCGAACGATTTTGTGAATGCTTTTCTCTTGCGTAAGTAATTGTAACTACTAACCTAGTAACAAACAGTATTGATCTTATCAGCTGGGTAACAAATACTCAGAGCTTCCCGATTTGACTTGCATCTGTCTCTAGACCAGACCAATTAAGAACATACAGCTTACTACATCGCTACAGCGAGTTACCACTGGGAAAAGACATACTGTACTACTCCGACCTGATCTAGACGCAATTGAAACTCCAACTAGTACAGGTACAGGTACAACTACTCGTTACAAAACCAAGAACCGAAGCTGTAAGGGTATCGATGTTTGTCTCTTCCGGAAGGAAAAAGGAATTAAAGTACAAAGAAACAACCGGGAAAAAGGGAAGAGGGCAACGACAGGGATGGTAATTATTTTTTTCTTGCATTGGTGGGTTTTCTTTTTCTCTTTCTGTCTCTGTCTTTCGCTCATAGTAGCATGCGTGTCGGATTCACGTACGCTCTGCCAGAATCTCGCCAGACTTGTTCTCTGTCGAGTTTCAACGTGCTTCATAAAGTGACCCCCGGACTTGATCTTGCCCCTCTCTCCTCCCCATAGGTTGTTTGGAGCGAAGTAGAAAATCATTGTAATAGACCGGGAATCATTGTAAAGCACACCATTCGCTAAACGTTGTGCAGGGTGGGGTGTGGGTAGAGGAGGAGGAAATTCGAAAATGGGTTTCACGGAGTGAATAAGAGACACAAAGGAATTGGAATAAGTCGCAAAAAAAAGAAGAAGATGGGAGGAAGGAACATGGTGTCAACGTGAGAGGCGTAGGAAAACAGTTGTGATCGATGGATGTGTCAATCACTCGAAGGATAAAGCGCGCGCGGAGAATGGAAATGATCTCTAGCTCAGAATTTAAGCGTCACCAGAGGGGGCGGGCTTGTCACCCGAAGGGGTCGACGCAGGAGAGTCGTTTGGCCCACCACTCTTGAAACCACCGCGGCCGCCGCGGCCTCCACGGCCACGACCCCGGTCACCACGACCACGGCCAGTGAATCCACCCCGGCGAGCACCCTCGCTGTCACTAGCAGACTGGTACCCACGCGAGCCGGCGTTGGATCCACCACGGCCACTTCCTTGCCAGGTACCGGCGTTACCCTGACCACGGTTGCGGTCCTCGAAGAACTTGAAGTTGGGCTTACGAGGTTGACCACTGGCCGTAGGGCCAGACTTCTTGTGTTCAATAGGTTGACGGTCCAAGGCGGCCTTGGCATCCTCCACAGTCGGGAATGTGACAACGTGGTTGAACTTGCCATACTTCTCAATCTTAATGAGCTTGGCCTGGTCCTCCTCTGGGAGCAGGTCGCGGATGGCTTGCTCGTTTTCGACGTTGGAAACGAAAAGTCCATTGCTAGGCTTCTTTTCGCCGCGAGGAGCGGGGGATTCGCTGGTCTTCTCTGGCTGGGCGGTGCCGTTGGTATCAGCGTTAGCCTTCTCCTCACCGGCGGACTGGGTGGAGGTTGCAGCAGGCTGGGGGCTGGCAGCCTTGGGAATCACGGGAATGGGGGAAGCACGGGCGGGCTGGCCCTTGGCCTGACCGGGGGCAGGGGCTCCGCGAGCCGGAGGTTGGTTGAACTGAGGCGTGGAAGCAGTAGGGCGGCCACCAGCACCGGTAGGCGCGGGGGAAGCAGTGGTAGCAGGCAGGCCGCTGGCGACGGGAGCACCAGCAGCGACGGGCTTGCCGCTACGGTGAGCGAAGTTGAAACCTTGAGCCCGCATTTCCGTAGCGATACGTCCTCCCTCAATCTCTAGAACCAAGTATCCGAAGGCAGCGTCAGCCAAGTTGAAGTTCCACATGTTCTTGAAGGCGCTCTCATCCACTTGGCCGGCAGCATTTCCGGCGGCGACGGGGCCACCGAAGGGGTTGCCGCCATTGGCGATGGAGGGCATCTTCTGCACCACGTCCAAAGCATTGTCGAGGAGTGTCTTTTGGGCCTCATTAGAGTTAATGGCGGACTCAACCTCCCCGCGGACGGTCTCCCAGACATCATTGAACGAAGCCTTGGAGGCAGCGAGCTTGCCTCGGTAGTGGTCAAGCGAAGGGTTGACGGAGAACTCGTTGTAGGAAGATCCGTAGCGGAAGTGCAGACCAGCGGAGACGGAGAAGTCTGCCTTGAGAGTGACCGAGAGTTGGTTCAGCATACCCTCACGGGCCGGAGAGGCGTGTGTGACGAAAACGCGGGTCTCGGAAGGATCATAAACTCGGTTCGCGGTGTCGATCAACTCTCCCATCTGCAACAGGGTGGTCCACATGGTACCCTGTCCACCAGCAATCGTTGTCTTTCCCTCGCCGTTATCGAATAGCTTGTGCATCACCACTGCACCACCCAGACCCAGGAGGCGCAGCTTCACACCGCCAATGTCCAACAGTCGCGAGTTGGCCTCATCGATGATGTGCAACTTGTCAACCTTGTACTCGCCCGAGCGGAACTTCTCCAACACGCGCACATCTTCGCAAGCACCCCAAACAGTGTAAACAGGAACGTCTAGAGTGATGCGCTTGTCGAGAAGCATAGAAAGCTCGGAGAGGGGTAGCTGGTCGGGGTGAACCGTTGCTTAATGGATTGTTGGGGAGGGACTTGTGCGATCGTCCTCTTGACATTTTCAGGCAGGAGGGGAGAATATTGGGCGACGTGCTTAAGTGTCCTAGGGGCGACGAAGGCCGAATGTTAGCTGGACTGTTTCCCCGAAAAATGTTTGGTGCCCGGCTGACGCGAACGTAGATCCTCCTTCCTGGCCAGGCCATCGGGCAGCAACCAAAGGGGTCTAGCCAAAAAGCAAAAGTCGCGAGATCCAACTCACTTGTCTGCAATGCGCTCCAGGGAAGTATCGTCGTAGAAACCAAAGTCACCCGTGTGGATGATGTGGTCTGCGCGAGCCTGCTTCGCGAGTTCATTAAGGGACTTCAAGTTTCCTACCGATCATGCCCAATTAGCTCAACTCCAGGTCAGATTGTAGCCCAATCATTCATATCATCCATACCTCGCACATCTGCAATGCACAGGATCCGAGTCGGTCCATTCTGAATTACTCTGCCATTGTTGGGGAGAAGCGGCGTGGCCCCGGGCGCCGGACCCGATGGTGTCGCACCGTTGGAGATGGGGTATCCTTGGGGACCAAAGTTGTGAGGACGGGGCTAGAGACAGAGAGAGAGGGAAGTGAAGATTAGCACGGGATCACTTCGAGCTAAATCGCGCCTGGAATGCTCGCCAGTCGGACGCGGAGTGCAGTGCACTCCGCCATCGAGGGGGGGAGCGCCGCTGGGGGCACGGGGACACTTACGGAAGCCATGAGTGTGAGAGGGAAAGAAGAGATTATGGCGTGAATGACAGAATAAAAGGAAGGGAAAAAAGCAAAGGGGGAAGATGAGAGGGGGGGTGAGAGGTTGAAGGGCAAGAAAGAAGATTCACGCATGAAGCACGGCTGCTCTCTTCGGGCGCGGATTAGGTAAGCCCCCTGGCGAGTATAAATTACTTCATTACAGCTTGAAGTATAGGAGTTGTTTACAACACATATCTTTGTTTACACACTGCAGATATGGTAGTACAGTATATAGACTACTGGCAAATATGGACATACAGCTAGTGAGACTACATCAGGCGCCTCCTATGGCTATCTAGTTGCACTACTAGCAGTACAAGATTGGTAGAAAGGGACATATCAACTTCAAGTTGCCAACCTCGGATTAGTTACTAGTAGTAAATAGTATATTCAAATAACAAAATAGCATAAACTTCTATCAACGAATATTATGCAGCTAAGTACAATAAGTAGTAATACTTTATACAAGTATAACGGTGACTTCTTCCCTCCCTCAGCCCTAATCAGGCACCCGATGCCCCCCCTTCGGCCACGCCCTCGGCGGTGCCCCCTGCATAGCCTCTTCTGGAGACGACATCTGGATCGCGCTCCCAACAGAACTTGTTACTGAACCCAATGGACTGTTTCTTATAAGGACATCTCTTTTCTCAAATCCGACCTTGGGTATCGTAAGATCGCGTTTCCTGCTGGCAATATACAGTCGGTGAGTTCTATCCGGCGCAGATGCGGTATAGTAGCTGGCTCTTAGCCATCTCCCATCGAGCCTGAAGTTTTGACCTGGTATATATCGTCCGGGTGACAACACTGCTTGAACTCTGACCCATGGCCCCATTCTGCGTCTTCGACCACTAAGTATCACTGCTTCAACCTCCACAGACGGTTCGTGAACCATTTGACCATTAGCGACAACAGCAGTGATCATTCCCAAAGTCATCACTTTCGGTATATCTCCACCCGGGCGATGAGGCCCTGCAATTATTGATATATCCTGTTGGAAAATTCGCAGGTTACTGCAGCCAGTGTCATGAATAACGTCGAGCTCGTCCCACCAGTCGTAGTGTGGAAGACGGAAGGCGGTTTGATACTGGGGATAGTACTACTAGTCAGATACTGGCTCACCCGGAGAAGAGTACTAAGACATAGGAACACATACCACATTGAGACCAGAGCGACGATTGGTGCTTCGGCGCCCCTCCTCGACTGTAAGCATCGCTAGCCTGCCTTCAGGACCAGGTACTTGGTTCTAGCATGAGGAACGCAAATTAGCTAGACGGAACAGAATAGATCAATGGAACGGAAACGTACCCCTTCAACCCAAAAGTCCTTATAGCCATCGTGCTTTTGATTAATTGCTTCAAATTCATCCCAGTCAAATAGCCGGGGCTCGCAGAGCTGAACTCCTTTCGACCAGTATGTAACAAGCCCGGTCCAATCTAGTGCTCGCGACCTGTATGCCTTCAATATCGCTTGAACATTAGACAGTTGCTCATATTGATCTTCCTTTTGTAGACAGCCCTCGAGGTCCTTGAGGACGGTGACTCGCTCAATTACTTTCCAACTCAGATCCTCTCGTTCTCCAACCGCTTTTTCCCTGTCGTTGAATCAATCAATTGGGCCATTTAAATAAGTGAAAGAGTCGAGCGAGTGAGAATTTATGCATACCGGAAAAGGGCCTGTGCTTCCCGATAGTCTTCTAATCGTCTCTGAAAGATATGAGGCATAATATTATCCTCTAACCTCTCCAGACAACGGGTGATTTGAGCATCAATGTCTCTGTGAAACCAAATCAGCATTTATCGAAACCAAGATATCAAAAACAGTTAGTTACGCACTTTATGTCAAGGTCGGGCTCTTCTGAAGTCCATCCTTGTGGTAGCCTCCGTTCATCTGTCAATGGCTCCGGTCCACGATGCTTCCACCTCCGCGGCTTTTCAGGGCACTCAGCCATGGAACAAATATCAACTATGTCCACATAGGACTTTGTAAGCTCCAAATCCTCTACATTTAGTTTTGTACGAGGTGTTGGGTCCGATGGAGACCCGTCTTCGTATGATCGGTCCCGAGAGCTCGATTTGGTTCTCTTTCTCTTTTTCGAGTCTCCCCTCGAGAGTGAAGTATTGCGCCTGCTAGATCTTGGCAATGGAGAAGACTCCTTGTTGCGGGATTTTCTTAGTAATGGAGAAACACGCCGTTTCCTGCGAGCGGTACGGGTCGCCGGAATGGGTGGGTGAATCGTGGTCCCTCGATCCGGGGTATACTATTCTGAGGTGAAAATGATGTCGGTGCGGTGGATGGAGAGGCAAAATAGCCCGAAGAGCCCCCAGAGCCTCTAGTACTTGCACTTGAGAATATATTGTGAAACTGGATTGTCAGGTCAATTTCACGAGAACTGGCAAAATAACATAGCAAACCAAGAAATTATAGCGAGCAGCGTATTAGATAAAAGACCTGTGAATTGCCCAGTGTTGAAAGGAATCAAAGAAGACTGAGAAATTTCTAGATAGTTAACGTCTTTGTGCTCCTTGATGCTGTCTATCGTGTCTTTCATATTCGTTCCCAGACTCGAGTTGCTCAATGAAATCGTGGTTTTGCCTCTCGACCACCAGTTGCTTTCACCTTTTCTCAATGAGATCTCATGCAACTTCAAAGCCGCCTTCGAAGTATAATTTCTCCTGCTAGTTTGCAAACCGAGTGATCTAGTGTCAATTTCCGAGAGCATGAGCCAGGTCCCTCATTGTTGGAAGAAGACACCAACTCGCCAAACTGACAGAAAAGAATACTGCTACGGGCCAGGCAAAAGAATAGAGTAACAAGGATGTAGAATGTAATTACAGAGAGTACCAGCTATGTACATGATTTGAGCTGCGCGATCAAAGCTCAGGCCCATGAGATTCGAAGCGGGACTTGCCCCCCCTTATGCTTCACTTGGGTAGACTTGTTAATGGACAAAGACTGAACCGACGCCGGACCCTTCCAAGCCAGAAGCGCAAAATGCCCACCGACCGTCGGACGTGCGCGACATAAGATTGGAATCCCTGGTTCATTTCCATGGGCGGACGTAGAGACATATCGATCAGAGAATGGCCAGTTGTGTTTCCCGTTTGTCATGAATGCCCATAGGTCATCGACGAACTCGTCCCGCGTGTTCGTCTCAAACGTGGCAGCAAGCCACATATTCCAATCGGACTTGGCCCAATCCTGTCTGTTGTCTAGAGGAACCCCGTACTCGCCTCGGACATGAGAGTAAAATTCGCTGTTCACCCGAATGGCGTCGTTGGAAAAGGTGTTTAGTCCAAGAAGGACGTCCGGGAATAGGTTGTATGGAGTCTTCCATGATTCAGGGTAATCAGGATATTGCAGTACGAAATGTGTTTGTTCTGGATCTGTGCCCAGACCCTGCTCAAAGAAAATGTTTGCGTGTTCCTCGCCGATGCGAGAGTATCGGTCAATACCACTGAGCTCACCAAATGCCTTGATACCAACCGCCGCCTTGATGGCTAGGTTTGTCTCGTTGGCGAGGGGACCGGCGGCATCATTGGAGGAAAGTTGGTTTGCGATGTCGATACTGTTGTCGACCAAGTAGTCGGCGTATTTCTGGAAGATGTCCATATACTGACCTGTCCACTCAGAATCTCCTGTAGCGCGGGAATAAGCAAGAGCAAGAATCAGCAGATTGCCGGATTCCTCTATCGGCATCGGCTCGGCCTTCTGGTCGTCATGGCCAATGGCATTTGGGTAGTGACTGCCGAGGTCATGAATGGTATACGGAAGATGCCACGGCCGGCATCTAGGTACCGCATCACAGGTTCCAACATCAAGCGAATCCAATCAGGGTCCAGGACCCAATAGATAGGGAATGCTGGCATAATCACATCAATGGTGTTGACATTCCCGTCGCTGGAAAGCTCCTTGATGAATGCCAATACATCGTCGGTGTCGAGGGAGTCATTTGGAATAGTCAAATCTGTTCCACCATATGCTTGGCGGGTAGATAGAGCAACAATATCCGCATATTTGGGACCAGCTGCCGCAGTAGCAAAAGCTGTCAATTCTTGATCCAGTTCCAACGACTCTCTGAGTGCGTCTCCGTAATCATTCAGGAAGAATGAGAGAGCTTTATGCGTAGTAGGGTACTCTGCGCGGTAATACCCGGTGTATTCTTCTCCGAGATAGTTAATGGCTGCCTCTCGTTCGTAGCCTACAGCAAAATTGACAGATGCTTGACCGTAGACAGTTCCTAAATCATGAGCCAAGGCGGCGACACTTCCGTAGGACCAATCAAATTCTTTCCCAGAGAGATCGCCCTCCTGTGCGAATTGAGCTCGCACCGATTTGGGATCTCCGGTAAGGGAAGAGAGGCTGCTATATTCAGATGGGCGCGAAGCGAGAATAGCTTTACCCCAGAGTGCCATATCGTTAGCCTCGGCATACTTCGCTGCATCTTCCACGGAGAGCGAATGAATAAGGAGACCGTCGTCATGTTCTTCGTAGTTGAGGACGGAGCGATCCTCGCGCCCAGTCCATCTTCCATCGATATCTGAATAGACTTGGATATCGTTACCGAAATAAGACCCGGAGACTTTGACCGTCAGGTAACTGAAAGGAAGGGACTGTCGCAAGTAGTTTGCGGGGGTCACAGGCGAGAAAAAGTCGAGGGTCAATCTCACGGAGCCGGCCGTGAGGTCAAAAGTGGAGTGAGTCGAGGTGAACTCGGCACGACGCACGGTGGCAGGCAATATTTCGTCTTCGTCAAGGTCCGGAACACCCATTACGCTATACGCCTGGCCATCGACACGCACAATCACGGACCAGCCGAGCTCCTGGCCCGCCCAGAATTGTGGTTCGGAGTAGGGAAGTTGTTGCACGCGATCACTTGGCATCCATGCTGATAGATAAGGGTTGCGCACCGCCAGCGGATACGATGGAGGGAGCACAGGGTGATGTGTGATGCTTCCCTGCTGGTGACCTTGGTGGCCATTGCTGAAAATGGACAAAACGGAGGCGCAGAGGGAGCCCAGTCCCAGTGGCCCTTGGAAATCGAATCTCATGATGTGTGGTAGAAGGGTCGACCTGGCGCACCGGGCGCATGGATCGATAGAACAATGAAAGCAAAACTGCTGCTATGGAAGGTATGGCAGGAAGGAGAGATGATGGGGATGTCAAAGATGAAACGAGAATTCAGCTCGGGTTAGAAAGCGAAATGGCGGGCCTATGGCCCCCTGTTGACATTGTTGGCTCCGGGGTCCGCTGATCAGCCTACATTGTCGTCATCGAGAGGAGAAGCCCATTCTTGCCGATCGAAATGGTCTGGGCGGCTATTCTAGCCTTCAAACAGCGAGGGGCCCGGGGGGGGGGGGGTTGATCCTCTGATGGGTCCTCAGGGGCCAACCAGATAGCGAATAGGTGGTTCCTGCGGCGCCATGGCGGGGCTCGGCGTAAGACTGGGGCGCGTAGGCATTTTGTCCTAAGTCTCGTGTATGTATATCTCTTGATTTGAAGAGTCTCTTCGTTTGAGTCAGTTTGTTAATTATCCTCCTAGTGCATAACTAATAACTACATGGCTATATATCGTAGCATAGTTCTATAGTACCAGTACCATGGTTCATGTTCATAGTGAATTGTGCTCTGCTTAAACTGACGAGATGGTCGTGCCTGCCATACCTGCCAGTGCCATCCAATTAACTAGTTATATCGTACCTGCCATATAACTAGCCTAATGTATCCATGTTACATCCAAACATACCACTCGGAGTATAATCAAAATAGAATTAATTCTGAACAGGAACTTGAGTAAACTTTGATTGTACTGGTAATTTTGTCCTCATAACTTCATAGGAAATTCTCTTTTATAGCTTAGACTCTTCGATGCGGCGACCGATCTCGTCGAAGTGAATCTGCTTGCCACTCCGCAGGGCCTCCTGAAGATAGGATCCAATCTCAACAGCCTTGACAGCATTAGTCAACTTCATTGGAAGGGGTGTGTTGTCGAGGCAGGCAGCGGTGAACTCGTTAGCCTCATTTGTGAATGCAGGTCCAAAGCGGCCGATAAAGTTGGGCGGGACCTCTCGAGTAATGCCGCCGGAGTGATAGTAGTTGACGAAGTTCTTCTGAGGATTGCCGTTGACGGTGAGTTTGCCCTCTGTGCCAATGATCTCTGTGGTGTCCTCTTGTCCGTGGGCCATCATGCGGGTGCAGTAGTAGTAGGCGATCTTGCCATTCTGGAACTCGACAATACCGACTGCATTATCGTAGTCCTTGTGCTTTTTCAGCTCGGGCTGGACGGCCGTGATACCGTGGGCGGAGATGCTCTTGGGAATGGAATCGTCGCCGAAGAACCAGAGAGTCAGATCGATGTCGTGGACAGACATGTCGACGAAGACACCCCCAGACCAGGCGGCATACTCCACATAGAATCCAGAGGGGTCAAACTTGTCGGCGGTTTGACTGCGGATAATCGAGGGACGACCGATGAGGCCCTGCTCGGTCTTCGCGAAGGCATCACGGTAGGACTCGTCGAAGCGTCGTGAGAAGCCACACATCACCTTCAGGTGAGGCTTCTTCTTGGCGGCTTCAACGACGGAACGGCACTAAAAGACTATAATCAGTACAAAATCAAGCAAGAAGTGAGATAAGGCGAGGAGGGTGCGTGACGAACCACTTCTACATCAACAGAGAGGGGCTTTTCGCACAGAACGTGCAGGTCCTTCTCGATTGCCTTGATGGCTTCTTCAGCGTGGACTGAAGTGGCAGTTCCGATAGCAACTGCCTGAAGACCGGGGTGTTTTAGCATCTCATCGTAGTCGGTGTACAGAGTCACTCCATGAGGCTCAAGGTTGACTCGGCCCCAGGCAATCTCGTTCTGATCGGGGGTGAAGGCTGCGACAAGTTCAGCGCGAGGGGTCTTTTGGAGGAAGTTGATGGCATGCAACTTTCCCACACGACCAAGGCCAGCCATGCCAACTTGTAGTTTTTGAACACCCATTGTGTGTGGTGAATGTGAGAGTAGCTGGAAGATGTTGCTATGCTGGGTGAGAGAATGATCGAATCCGGGGTCCTACTGCGGGTTTAAATAATTCGTGATGGAGCTCAAGTAGGCCTATCCAAGGCACAAGTCTTCTACTGTGCCGACATTGCAGGAAAGTCTTCCCATTGACTCCATCCGCACTCCATCTGCATATTCTCATGCACCACCACAGCACCACACTTAGATGTCAAGTGGAAAGACTTACCTTATCCTCCCGAACGAGTAAATTTGCCCACCACACACGCCCGTGATCCACTTCTTGTCAGGTGTATTCCCTGTGATTGATCAGTTGCTGATTGTGGGGATTGTTCCCCGCACTGCGGAGAGATTTGCCTCAACACCCCAGGGAAATTCTCTCCGCATATTCAACCCCAGAAGTCACTCCGTACGGAGTACTCCATAGCCAAATGGACTCGCGGCCACGGAGGAGTCGTCTAGTGGCAGGCTGGTAAGTGCCACATTTTCCTGTGGACGATCATCTACTAATTACCTATTGCCCAGTCAACGATGCCGTGGTAAGTTTAAGCGAGGGAAGAGATGAAGGCGAATCCCATTAACCTAAACGTGGCTGCGTTTTCTAGTTCGTCATTTGAAGTGTACGTCTTTTGGGCGAATCATTGGCTTTTTATGCATATGCTGATTGTTCACTCCAGGCGATGTGCATGCAGAGATCTGTCGGCACTGTCAACGTGTCGGCGTCGGGTGCAACCGATCATCGGTCCGGTTTCGCGAGGGGCTGGCATTGCCAAGTATTGCCTTTCCAGAGGAACCGAGTTGGCCCCGAATTAATGGAAAAGGTACTTTGTATTCATGGAATATCAGTCGAAACATAAACAATTGCAATGCTCACTCTCCGACAGTTCGCTTTCATGATGAAACATCTGAGATCACAAGCCTATACGTAGAAATCTCAGAGGACCCCGAGTCTCAATGGGCTCACGAAAAAGATGATTATTCTCACGGAAACCCGCATCATGAGACAGTCATTGATACACCTAAAGAACCTCAAATTGGTCTTCAGCATGTCGTCAACCTTCGATCGCCCTCAGTGCCCAATACCGCGGCAGAAAACCCCTCTCCTGCAAGTCTATCAATTATCTCGTCATCCTCATCTCGAACTAGATCCAGCTATACCACCCTTCATACATTCACCGAACGAGAAGCCATTTTGATCCGGAATTTTGTTGAGAACATGGCTCTTTGGGTGCGTTCGCCAATAGAACTTTTGTGTCAAAAGAACATTGAAGCTGACAGACAATAACTATAGGCCGATATCACCGATCCAAAGCGTCATTTTGAAACAGAAGTGCCTGCAAGGGCACTCAAAGATTCAGTTCTTCGCCTTGCGGTCTTGGCTTTCTCTTCGCGGCATTTAAATCGAAAAAATACGGAAGATGCAACGGAAGCACTGCAATACCATAACGACTGCGTAAAGCTACTGATCCCTGCAATGTCCGACCCAGAACAACATATTACTGAGGATATTCTGGCCTCGGTGGCAATCTTGCGACAACACGAGGAAATGGACGGTAAACAGTTCTAATGGCCACCCGTCAATGAACCAGCAACTAATTCTTCTCCAGGGGAGGATAATCAATTCCATCTAACTGGCACCACTCGCATTCTCAATACCGTCTCAATATTTGGGTCATCCGGTGGCCTGGGCGAGGCTGCGGCTTGGTTATGCCTGCGTCAGGATATTTATGTGGCCCTAACGACTCAGCAACCACTGCGAACTGACTTACAAAACTTCCTGGAGTCCGATGTTTTTGACAGAGATGATGACTTTGCGTGGTCTAGTAGGATGGTCTTCCTACTGGCAAAGGCTCTGCAGGATGTCTTTGCAAAGAATTCGAGTTCAAAATCCATTGACGAGGAGGTTCAAGAATGGTATGCGAACAAGCCACATACCTTTGAGCCAATCCGGGTAGTTCCACGCGGATCGGAAATAGAAAATCGATTCCCGGCTATTTGGATGTTGTTGCCTGTGCATGGTGAAACCCCTCTTGTCTATTCTCTGTTACATTATCTAGTACTGATAATGGTGCAGTTGTTGGCTTGCAATACTATCATATGACCAAGATTGTTCTGGCACTTTCTCAAAGTTCCAACGCATCTTCTACATATGAGACACTTCGACAATCCCGATTAATTGAGGTGAGTCCTGGATTTTTTTATCACTTCATCGGTCGTTGCTAAAATCTTCTCCGCTCAAAAGAAAAATATTCAACATCATTTACTTCATGTTTTGGGCCTTGCAAAATCTAATTCTAAAGCTGAAAACACGCTGTTCACCGCACGTCACAGTCTGGTAGCATGTAAGTTTGCTCGCAATGAATGATCTTCCCGGTTTGATGGGATCTTTGTTGACCAATTAAGGGGGCTGGGCTCTAAGGAGTCGTGGAGATCAAAAGGCAGCAGAATCCCTATTACGAGACATGCATGAAAGGACAGGATGGAACATGGATTTATTAATTATGTCGCTGCGGCAGCAATGGCGCGATGAAAATGAACATTGAAGACCTCCCTGGTCGGGAGTTGATATTATACACGACTGATCCTCAGTCATCACATAATGAATACCTGCGGTTCAGGCAACAATTTCGTCCAGTTCTCACGTTTTCGCTTCTTCCGAATTTCCTGAAGCAGATCCAAAGCTCTCAAAATATTGACAAACCCACTGCGACTGAATTGTCTTTTCAAAAAGGTATCAAAGAACAACTGGTGCTCAAGCGAGTGACTCTCGGACGCAGCAATAAAACACGCCCAGATAAGAGAATGCTCGCCTAGCGATCCCTTGGGGATCTGCTCGAGAGTCGATTTGAAATCTTCTACTAGGTGCGTCGATGGTGCTCCATCATCTCCTAGGGATGCTCGATAGAGGTAAATGTCATATGCTTGTTGCCTCAGGCTCGCGATTCGGTCAAAAGAGTCGAAATATGTGGGATAGAGATGACGATAGTACTCGAGGCAATCAAAACTCTGTTGGCCTTCAAATATAAGGGTGCTTGTGCCCACGTCCTGACTTATGAACGGCGCTCCGTAAACTCTTATCCTGGTGATGTTAGCTTTAGAAATTCCCAGATTAACCAGTCAGTTCGCACGACTTACTTGTGAATTTGCCGTAGAAGGAACTGGGCCAAATCTCCCTCTGCAAGCTTTGAGTCGCCGCCAATAGCTTGCAAAGCAAATTGCAACACGTGAAACACGATGGGAAAATCCGAGGACCCGTTCACCATCAAAGCCACGAGAAGAACAAGTATTGTTAGAATGATGACATGCTGTGTTTCCAGATCATATTTGTCGATAGACCTTTTCTTTTGGAGCTCTCGGATGGCCATTGTATAAAGTTTAGCAGCATCCTGGGGTCCGCAGCCTCTTCTGCTGGATAGATGGAATGCAGATGCTGCAAGGACCGCGTTCATAACCAGTTCATCGCGATGGGCTATTGGAAGAATCATATGTCGCCACCCATTATTGTGATCGTCAACAATCACCATCTCGGGAGCAATATTTTGAGAAACTAGATAGATCAATGGCTTAGCGATGGGCATCTTAGCTTCGGGTCATTCAAGAACCTACAATAGTCCAGCAAGAACAGCTTCCCAGGGCTCACTGAGCCAAAGTTTGGAGAAACTATAGACTTTTTCCTGAATAAGGGCTCAGATTTTGAGTCTTGAATGTCTTTCTCATTGTTGATCGGACTTTTCCCCCTTGTCGAGCAGAACGTTGGAGCCAGAACCTGGACTTTCCCTTTCCCAGAACAACTGGATTTCTTCGAACACTTCGTTCCCGGAGAGAACTTGAAACTATTGCGAAATTTCCACGACGAACCGAAACCACTACAAGAGATACCCTTTGCGTCACATTTCTTGCAGTTGGGATGTGTGCGATCACAATGGATTCGGCGCTGAGAACACTCGTAACAGCCTGCCAATTAACAATAAGAAATTCATTCAGTATTGGAGGTCCTAGATAGGGGTTCATACCTTTAATTTTCGGCACGTAGGGTCGTTTCCTCTGTGGCATGGTAGTAGGGACGTATCCGTTATGGTTATGATGAGTGTGAATCCTGTTCACCCCTCCCAAAGATAACAAAAAGTGCGGGGTATGCAGCATCCAATAGGAACATTTATAGGAATATACTAAGAGCCTTGGAATATTACAGCAGTCTAATGATTTAATGCTAGTACACAATCAAATAGAAATGAATGTTCTAAATGCCGTTCAATAATTTTGATATATGCTTCGATCGCCAATCCGGTAGTCAGAACAATATGATACAAATGAATACCGGTATATGTAAGCTTCAACCAGGTCAGCTCCGGAACAACTGCAGACCACCCTCTTCGTGGTCTTCATCACTCTCAGCATCACTGCCGCTATCATCCCCTTCGCCCAGCAACCCACTGGCAGTTCTGCCTAGCAGTGAGGCAAAGAATTCATCACGGGCCCGAATCGTCCATCCGCCACGGTCCTCGGGAGCCATAAAGTTCTGTAACTTCTCATGCACGTTGTACTTCATCTTACGGCCCTTAGAGGCACGGGTATCAATGTCACGCTTAACCTTGTCGTTGCGCATACCAGTCACGGGGTGAATCGGAAGGCGAGAGGGAAGCTGGGTGAGGGAGTCGAGACCGCCGGACATGGCCTCGGAGGAGGACATGCGTTGCTCGACAAGCTCACGGAGAAGAGATTGATAGAAAATAGTGTCGTCGTAGATTGGTTCGGTGTTTTCCGTTCCGTGGCGAGCGCGCTTGGAAGATCGGTCGCCGACTTCGGTTGCGACGTGGGCATCAAGAACAGCGGTGATAGTCTGCTGGCCCGAAGCAGAGCCTAGAAGCTTTCCACGGGCATTGGGAAGAGAGCTCGGGGCTCCCCTGACCTTGGAGGACCACTTGTCGAGAACTGAGCGGCGGTGTGAGAGGGATTCGGATTCCAGATCGGCCATGCGCTCCCAAAGCGAGGCAGATGTGGTTGATGGTGTAACAGAAGAACGCTTGCGCTTTTTCGTCTCGTCCTTGGACTGGGCTGAGGCGAGGGCAGTGCGAAGCTCCTCCAAAGTAGACCAAAGTGCAAGTGCTGCAGATTCCGCCGACTTTATCGCCTCGGAATTTGAAGCGTCGCCATCCTCTTCCTGCGCATCTTCCTCCTCGCCAGAAATCCCGGAAATGTCGTTGATGGCGGTCAGACCCTTTTGCAGCTTAATCCGAGTGTTCAGCAACGCATCAAAGGTAGCACGCTGCTCCTTGACAGCCTTTCCCTTGGCCGCATCAGCCTTGGAAGCCTGTGAAATGGTGGCTGCAATGGTCTTCTGGTCCGTAGCCATAAGCCTCCGCAATTCCTCCCGATCATCAGCCGATGCTTCCTTGTTGCCGGACTGCTTCTTGCTGACGCTTGGTTTGCGCGGGGCAGATGATTCTTCGTCATCAGATGTGATCTCATCTTCACTGTCTTCGGCATCTTCGGCATCATCTGACAGGTCATCGCTTCCTGCGGATCCCTCTAGATCAGATCCTGATTCTTCTTCGTCGGACAAGGCAGCGCCCTCGTTGTCGCTCTCCAATTCATCTGAGTCTTCATCGTCGTCGCTTCGGGCCGCGAAAGGATCATCCTCACTGTCGGCATCCAGCGCATCTCTGCTGACACGAGAGCCGTCGTATTGTTTGCCGAGAGAAACGGGTTCTTGCTTGCGAAGCTTCCCTTTGCTGTTTCTTGTATTAGCAGACCATCGCGAGCCGTGACAGGTGGAGACAAAGTCTTACCCTACGGCCTGGTAATGCTCTCTCCCAGCATTCGATTCTGCGGGCTTGCCACCCTCTTCATCGGAAGAATTGCCATCGCGCTCAATGTCCTCGGGATCAAAGTCTGAATACAATCAAATCAGATCAGCATTTGGTAACCTCGAGGAGTTGGGTGGAAATTTCGACATACCCTTGGGAGTTGGATCTTCCAGATCAGCGAGCTGATCAGCTAGCGACTTTCCAGGTGCCATGGTGAGTGAATGATAGGCCTTCTGGACTTGGTTAACACAAGAAGATTGGAAGCTGCGCCGACCTTCACTTTTTTTTTGTTTTTCCGGTTATCCGGAACAACTGCCTATTCTGGGACTAGTGTCTCCGCTTCTCAGGCGGTGAGTGCTCTCGTGCTATGGGCGGTGAACATCAGGCCTGCATTCTGCCGTTTTTATATGTGCGAGCATCACCTGCAGTCTTAACTTCTTCTCTTCTACCCCCGCGGTGCTATTTACCAAACAATGTGGTCTATACCAACTAGCTGCGCACCAATGCGTAGTCGCATGTTCTCGACCTTTCGAGTCCTTCAGCATGACAATCCCCTCGTCAGTATTCAACCACCATTGCGCCTCGGTTATATTAGCGACCTTTATTAACAATTCCTAGGGTCTCCCACGTTCAGGCACCCCTCCAAGCCTCAAGAGCCGCCGCGGACTCCCTCAGAAACGCAAAATTCGAGATGTGGAGAAAGTCATTGCCGTGTCATCGGCCAAGGGCGGCGTGGGCAAGTCAACAGTTGCAGGTAGGTCTGCTATTGAGGCTTGCATCCTCTTGCATAGTGCATAGTGCATAATGCTGATTTATACTTCGACCAGTCAATCTGGCTCTCTCCTTCGCTCGGCGGGGAATTAGAACAGGTCTCCTAGATACTGATATCTTCGGCCCATCCGTCCCAACCCTCCTCAATCTCTCCGGAGAACCTCGACTCGACGAAAGTAAGCTCCCATCCATAACTCAACAACTCTTCAACGATCCCGAACCATTCATTTACACACAAAATTACAACAGATAACTGCCTCATTCCCCTAACAAACTACGGCCTAAAGTCAATGTCAATGGGCTACCTCCTCCCCCAAACCCAAACAGACACCCAAACCGGCGAAGTACCAATGGACACAACGCCAATTTCCTGGCGCGGACTAATGGTCACAAAAGCCATGCACCAATTACTCCACTCCGTATCCTGGGGCCCATTAGACGTCCTCGTTCTAGACCTCCCACCCGGAACCGGCGACGTCCAATTAACAATCAACCAAGAAGTGATAATCGACGGCTCGGTAATAGTGACAACGCCCCAAGATATCGCGCTCCGCGACGCAGTCCGTGGCTTTGGTATGTTCCAGCGCATGGATGTCCCAGTCTTGGGAATGGTTCGGAATATGGCATATTTCGCTTGCCCGAATTGTGGGCATCAGACGAAGATTTTCTCGCACGGCGATGGCGATGGTAGCAATCACTCCTGTGAAGATCGCGGTGTTGTCGCAGAATGTAAGCGGCTAGGTGTGGATTTCCTGGGTGATATCCCGCTCGATGCGCGAGTTTGCGAGGATGCGGATCGTGGAATGCCGACTGTTGTTGCTGAGGAGAGTGCGGAGCGAAGTGCCCGTCGCGAGGCTTTCCTTGGTGTTGCTGAACAAGTTGCCCGTAAAATTGGCCTGGAGTGGCGTTAACCTTTTTCCTTGCCTTCTATGACTGGACCAATCGCAATTTGGATTCTTGCACATATGCCAGTGGTATTACGGTTGTCGGTTGAAGGGCTAGAGCGAGGTGAGATCTGTACGATAATATGCATGAAGATGATTTCAAAGGTAGATTTATTGTTTGCGAACTTAAAAGTATCAAGGTTGCTACATAAATCCGAGCAACTCAAATCATAAAGTCAAGGGGTCGGCCATAGATCGTATTCGCGTCCGGGAACTTCTCCAGTCTCCCATGACCGTACCCGAAACCTCACCAGAAGGAAAATGGGTATATTGAACAAATAAAAAAGGGGAAAAAGTGTCAAAACAATTCAAGAAGAGTAGATGGTAGATCGGTGTCATTCTGAAAAGATCAGAAGCATGATATATGGGAGATATGGTAAGGCAGAGTTGGCCAGATTCTTAAAATGGCTTGGTTGGAAACGAAAGAGATTGATGGAATCGGGAACCATCAAAAGTAAAGTGGAAAGTGATTGAAGTGACAAGAAAGGAAAACGCATGGGATGTAAATGGTTGTAGCAGCGCCTTATGCAGAATCAAAGTTGTTCATCGGCAGTCTTGAAGACTTCACGATCAGGCATCTCCGGACGATGGGAAGTTGAATTTCGGGCCTCGTCAATAGAGAGCCCAGGGCGCAGTGATGATGTCTCGGTCGAGAAACGTCCGTCTTCGTTGGGAATGACAACGTTGCTAATGCCCCTGACATTTCTTACTGCCCTGGTGCTAGCTGCATCGGGGGTGACACCATTGGGGATGCCGACATCCTTCTCGCCACCAATGGTACTAGCATCGTCGGACAGAAATTCGCTGCGACCGGCTACTGAAGATGGCCGACCGTTCAGGTAAGGCAGTGAAGCGTTTGAAGTCATCGCGGCATGGAAAAGAGCTCTTGTGCTTGCGCTGTCGTCTTGCAGCTTGTGGTTGTCAACCTCAGGTAGAATGAGGATCGGGCCACCACTTTTCTGCGAAATTGGCCGAGAAGCAGCTTCTGGGTCACTAGAAATGCGCCCGGGTGTGAAATCTCCATTGGGTTGCTTCTGCTGACTGGCAGTATCCCAAGTGACAACACCAGCACCAGCAGCGGTAGCCTGTGAAGCTTTGTTGGCGTGAGCATCTTTATTCTTCGCGGGCGTGCTCGAATATGAGCCTGCTTGACCGGCATCCACACTTGTACGGGTTGAGCGACGACCAGATTGCTGGGCCTGTTTCTCTTTTTCGAGAGTCCGCTCATCGTGCTTGCTGCCCCAGCCACTCCATAACATCAATCCGTAGTTCTTCTTGGCGTGACGTTTGGGCAGTACGCCAGGGGCGGCCCGTCGAGCAGCCAAGGAGCTCGGTGGAGGACATTCGCCGTTGAAATCTTGCAAACCATGTGCCATCTCTTTTATGCGTCGGCCCTGAACCCGAAGCTTCTCCTTGGAGAATTTCATGTCCCATTCATGCTTCTTAGCTAGCCACTTTGAGATAAGTTGCGGGTTAATTGCGCCAACTTTATCGGGAGGAGTATCTAGAATAGGATAGGACGATGGCGGATCCAATGGATAAGTACGCCCGCGTTTGTCAACTCGTTCACGCAACATATGGTGCGAGAAGGCGGGCAAAGGATCCCCTGCTCTTCCGACATAAGAGATCCCCGTATCCGTCCTCTAGGAATCTTCGCACCATCACGAGGACGGGAACTTGAGCTGCCATCCGACCCACTGGAAGACACTGGGGAAATCTGACTCTCATCGACGATTTCCACCTCGGCATTCTGGGCCCGGGCGAGTGCCCAAGAACCGAACTGTGAGATGACTCGGAACATATACTTGGCAGGCCGAGTAAAGCTAAATGTCGGCGCGACATGGCACAGGTTTTCCCAAACTTGGAACTGCACGTAGGTGGGTTCATATTTGTTCAGAATCTCACGGTCAGGGTCGAATTCGTCAAGGTAAACGTCGCTCGGCGGGTAGGCAGTAGGATTGGCGGCCTTGTGTGCAATGTAAAACTGCTCGTCTCGAAGCATTTCACCTCCGCCACTGAGGATCTGAAGTGGGGGAAGGCCACCTAAGGATGGTTGAAGGATTGGGGAGACCAATGGATGCGAAATGAGTTGGTTGGTGGTATACATCTGGATTTGATCCTTGAGTTCGACCGTCTTGCCTTCCAGTTCAATGTGGATATTATCAGGCTCGGCGTGCACGGTGTTGGGGTCTGTGCTTTGCTGCATTCCGGGATATGCATGTCCTGGAGCAATCGCTTTCTTCTCATGTAGTGTATATCCATGAACAGCTGTCTCCTCTGCATTGCTATTAGGGGCTGGGACTGTTTTATCCACGTCTTTTGCGGTGAGGGTAGGTTGGTGGGAGAGTTGCTTGATTTTCAAGATTTCATCGGCATTCGGCGGCGGCCAAGCCGTTGATGGCTTGTGTCGAAAACCATAGGGAGGAATATAGTCACCAGGGTTATCTGCGACGATGCTGGGCATGGAGTGGGTGAGGTCCACCCATGGGGAAATGAGGATCGCCCCAGCGGGCAAGGGGATCCCCTGATCGCGCATAATGACCATCAACGACAACGCCATGCCTCCACCCGCCGAGTCGCCCGCAATAATAATTTCCTTCGAGTCGTAATGTTTCAGCAGCCACAAATATGATGCCAGGCAATCTTGCAATGCACATGGGAAGGGGAACTGGGGAGCAAGACGGTACTCCGGAGCGAACACGCGACCGTTGAGCTTACGCGCATGACGCTGCATCATGTACCGATGGGTGTCCACACTGCCGAAGAAGTATGCACCGCCATGGATGTAGAGCATGATGCGATTGCTTCGCGCATTGGACTTCTTGTTCTCATTGTAATGATTGCGCATCTCGATCCACTCCCCCTTGAGGTCCTCTGATGGACCACGCCATTGCCACCATTCCTCGCCGCCGACCCGCTTGATACCCTTCGGGCCGAGCTGCTTGGAGATCGCTTTTCCGGCAGTCGAAAGCTCGTCATCTGGGATAATAACGGTCTCGGTTCTCACCCAATGCGGACTCGGGACCCATTGGCTTGTGAACGCTTGGATATCTTCGACAGGGTGCTTGGAGGCATAGTATAGAAACTGTCGGGTGATCTGGATTCCTTCATCGTAGGTGATATGAACGGAGGGCTTGTCATGGAGAGACTTGCGATGTAAATACTGTCCCAAGAATCCATCAGTAAGCTTCTAGTGACCATGTTTGTTTGGGGAGTGGGTTTGGGACCTACATGAGCGATAAAAGTTTGGATGGCAGTTGGCGTCAAAGCCATGCCCAGAGAAACGGTGTGCAATGGCATTGTCCATTCAAAACAAATTGGCCACGCGAGTTAAAAGAGGGAAAGTTGTAAAAGGGGAGAAAGTAGGACGAAGCGAAGAAGCAAAGTGGAAGTGGAAAGTGGAGAAGGCACCCGACGTCATAGCTGAGACAAACAGAGCAAACATTGTGGGGCTGGCAGGGGCAGTTTCCACTCACCGCCGATCGGGTTCGTTTATGTACACAATACGAGCATATCTTCAAGTTGAATATCATCAACATCTTCATTTCATTTATGTATGTTCTGTACACACTATGTACATACTATCTATGCTCATTCCTCACTCACCGTCTTCGCTGAGAGGCCAGGAACAAGATCACTATATACACCACTGCCACTATCCCAGCCACAACACTGCATGCTATCACCGCCCCTCGCGGCGAATATGGATCCTGAAACCCGGTTAATTGGAACCCGAATCCCATGTTGATGATCCCCAGTACGATCATTGCGCGGCCAAACCATCGGTGCAGATATGCAAATATCCCCTTCCCAGAACTTCCATCCCCGACACTTTTGCGGAAATGTCGGTGTTGCAAAAGTCCCATCGCGGGTTGGAAAACGACCAGACCAGCAACCACGATCATCCCAATGATGGGATGGTGATTATGCATCAAATCCAGATCTTGAGCCATTGTGATTCCAAGTGCCATTCCTGCAATTGCAAGCACCAGATTGACGAGCTGCAAAACCGCGTGCGTCATGATGGTTGATGGGAAAACATAGAGTGCCATCGCCCCGAACGGCAAGAAGATGACAAAGACCAAGATCATCACAATCGCATGTGCTAATTGTCGCTTCTTTAAACTTTTCCCATCAACGGAATCCTCGGTTTCTGCCGATGTGACCGTTGCGCTCGACAAAACAGCAAATGGGTTGGCGCTCGAGTCCGAACTTGTTGACAAAGCACCTGTCGCTTTTTTCAGGTTGACAGTGGCGGTTCCCTTGTCGTCGTGCTCGGTCAACTCTGCCGATACACTATCCGTACTCAATGGGTCCCCATATTTGACAGCCCAGATCCAAGGACTCGAGCTGCTGGTCAAGTCCAAACTGCCCCCATCCCAACTTATACAACTATCGCATCGAATATTGGCCGTGATTCTTTCCTGGTTGAAGAATCCACTACCACCCAGCACGGACACATCTGCATCCGAATTATGTTCTGGCTCAATATGGCCCTTTCCGAGACGGGGCGAGACTGTCACGTTGTCGCTGCTGCTCCCAGCTGTATACACAACGAATATGTTGGCTCCGCTCATTCCAGTTCCTTGTCCGAGTGCGAACCATTTTACCGGGCTGGTAGAATTCATCTGAAAGAATATCGGCCCCTTCCCCGAATTTGCTGTAGTTTCAGGAACGTGGATTGTAAATGTCAGGTCATTTCCTCCTGGGATGATGCTTTGAAATTGGGCTGCTACAAAGTGTGCCCCAAAGAGGCAGAGCCAACAAAGGAGAAGCATCATTGTGCAAAGAGTACCAGTGGTGACGGGTTTTGAAGCTTCCCCGTTTTTCGAGGGGGGGTAAGGCTCATTTATACATAGTCATACGGCCATGACGCAGGCTCACAAGGGCTCTCATTTTCGCATTTCACTGGTGCTGTCGATCTATTCTGGGCGAATCCCAGCGCATCGCCAGACCGTGAAAGCATTGACCATTGTTAGACATGAGAAAGCGCAGCCAAGGTTTTTTGGGACGAAGTCAACAAAGCCTTCCAGCTTCTTGAAAGGGCAAGCCACGAGATACCGAATCAAGTATGGGGGCTTGCTAATCTCCCCAGGTCAGCCGTTATACGGGTTCCAAGGTTCCCTGCTGCGCCTCCACGAATGCCGAGACCGCCAGGGGTTTTGAAATGGGACGATCTTCCGTTGGCCACGCGGCCGTGGGAAACATTAAAGGGACCCTTCACAACCATATTTCTCCGCCGATCTACACTGTAAATTTTTATGACATTTTGCTCGATTGTGAATGGTGAATGCAATTGCTTGTTTAGGCACAGTTCCCGGGTGTGGGGAAGGCCAGGCCAAAGTGTGGCTATGCCAAAACCCTATCTCCAACTCAACCCCGAGCTCTCGGGAAATTTATGAAACTGACAGTTGACCGCCGAGCACGTCAGGAAGCTGATTATACATGAGCCTAGGCAGATGCATTTTCTCCGCATTTTGGTGCTTTTGCAGCTATCGACATTATCTTGTCTGTGGCCCTCAGAAGATGACAAAGACACGACTAAGCTGCATGCCAAGGTGATTAACCAACACTATCACCTATCGGACAACACATTGCTTGGATGACGCCAACAGGATCTTCAGTCAATGATCAGATTTGAAATTCAGCCCTTGGCTCTGAGCTATTCCCCGTCAACAAATTTCGACTTTCGTCTCAACGCACGTCTGTATCGCATAAATAGCAACGGTACTGGTAACGCGGCGCAAGAAATCCCACCAAGCAGGCTTGCTGCAGGCCCAATTTCCAGACTCAACAACATTGGTCGGGCAGCCATGGGCATTGCGCAAGCAAGGACCGATCGGAGAATTGTGTTGGCAGAGACTGTACTCGCAGCGTAGGGACCATAGGTGTCGACGAGAAAATCCAGGCATTGCTGAAACCCGATATTGAAACCTGCTCCGATAAAACCTGTGGCTGGGTTATTGGGCTGCAGCTTAAAATAACCAAATCCTCCATCTCACGTCATCATCTTACCTGCTGCGATGGGTTGTGGCCATGGGTACTTCGGAGCCGCTGTCCATCCAAACCAAAACAGACCGACTGATAGCAAAATCCCCCCAACAATTATTGGAGGTAGACGCACCTCGGGTACTGCTTTGCCACAGTTGGCTTTAACGGCCCGCTTGTAGCGCGGCTGGTTGGCAAAGTTGATGAATACGGCACACCCGACGCCTACTAAGATCGATAGGAAAGGAAGGGTCGACACGATGAGGCTCCATTTTCGGTTCTCTTTAAAAACAATCGGAAACACTTCAAGTATCAGGTAAATCAGACTGTAAGTGAATGATGCATACAGTGCAAGGCACGCCACCATTGGTTCCGTGAAAAACATTCTGTCGCCAACGGTTAGTACGAGTTGAAAGGATCAATATGGTGGTTTTCAACCAATTAAAAGGACGGGCAAGGTGTTTTGTCACAACGGTACTGATTTCAATCTTCTCCTTTTCGTGAGGATGCCAGTATCGTTGATCTCCAGTGCTCCGGCGCAGATGTTGAGCTTTCTCTTACAACAGAACAGGCGCATATGTCTCGGGCAAGCAAAAAGCACATTAAAAATAAAATAAATACCAAAATTCCCTCTGTATATTCGGTCCCTGGTTTTTACCTTGTTAGCGATACTTCCATGGTTCCATCTCTCTAGTTTTATAGCAGTAAACCTACAACGCCATCCCAACCGCGAATCAGCCGTTAAAGCAGAGCCAATAACAGGACCTAGTGTTGGGCCCCCCGGTAATGCAAAAAGCAACAATTGTCATCCCATTACCACGAGTAGCCGGTGCAAAGATGTCTCCCAGAGCCGCAGGGGCATTACTGATAGGCGCGGAAGCAAATATACCACCAAAGAAACGAGTAAGAAAATAGCTGTTGCGCTGCGACTAGTTGCGGTTCCGATACTAGCTATATTATCTAATTGAAATTCAATAAAATCTAAAAATGTTTTATCTTTTGTGGTTAGATAATCCCAAAATGAACACTGCTGGCAACATGCCCATCCGGTGACCGTGGACTTTGCTGATTGGAGCCCAAATCATGGGGCCAAATGCCCACCCTATCTATCAATTTCAGCACAAATATATACTATTATGAAAGCAGCTTTCGGCTATCACTGACTTATAACGAAAAGAGCCACAATTAAGGGCGTGACCTCGCAGATTGTATGGGTATATTCTGCAATGCTGGTTGCGGCTGGTGAGATAATTGATGAACCAAGTGATCCGGCCAAGGCCAGCATGGCCATCTGGATGACGAGAAATGCCTTATGAGAAGAGCTGTAGTTCTTAGGATTTTTTGGATCGTCGTCCTCGAACTTGACTTTGAATGCGTTGAGCGTAATATCTTTTTCAGGACTCGCCTGGTTGGTTTCAATATCCTCAGACATTGTGAGAAGGTCAAAAGAGTATGGTCAGTATGAATCCAAAGGGCTTCATACTTTTCTCATAGCTGACATGTTCTACTAGGAGAATGGGTATTTATAGCCGGACATTGGAGACCGAGTGCCTATAAACACTCCATCTCTCGATGTGAACAGGCAATAACGAAGACAAGCATACAGAACAGAAGATAATTATCGCAGATCGTCAACTCTGATTGGCGAATAATTGAGTCTTGGACCCTCGTGAACAATTTCCTAAACCATTTTTGTGCAAGTGGCGGCCGCCGGACCCACACAATGACGAGGGCTGCGTTGATTCTCCATCTCTCGGTCATTTAAAACACTACTAGCGGCGGCCGAACATCCGTGTACTTCATTCTTCATTCTTTCTCAGAGAGCTTTGAATTATTCACAGTTTTGTGACTAGCGGGGGCCGCAAGGCTCCACGCGCCTTTTATCCCCCGAGACTTCAAGTTGGAACAAAAAGCGATAGTTTTCATGGAGCGTGCTCCACGAGTCTGTGCGACCTGTAAGGCACGCAAGAAATGATGTGATTGGTACTGCTCCCACCGTGGCCTTGCCTGCATTTATGAAAGCTCGCCTTCAGACCATGCCAGATCCAGGGATTGGGACCAGACGTGGACTACGGACGTGACACGTTTCCCTTTCCAAACATGGCGCGAGGCTTCACGTCTTCCAGAAATACAAAAGAGTTGGCCATTGACCTTCAAGACTTGCTATCTCATATTCTACAATCAATTGGGCGGAGTTTCACGGGAGTATATGATTCTTACTTCGATGGCTTTCATAGATGGTTGCCGATTATATCGTATGAGAATCTTGAACGAGGCCTCGCGCGCTATGAAGGAACTTACGCTCCGACTGAACTTTCGCTTCTTATACTATCGATGCTCCTTGTTGTGTTGCGCCCAGAAGACTGGCCTTCGACAAACACAGTCTCTCCAACCGTGCTGTACCCAGAGCCCAAAGCTACGTTCACACGACTGCAATCATGTCTTCCGACAACTACACCTATAATCCAGGTAGGATTGATAATAACGGCGTATGAATAAGTCTCCGGTAGAATTAACGAGGCCTATATCTCAATTGGAACCTGCACAAGAATAGCGTCCGTGATAGGAATTGAAGGGGTGAGATATTTGCAAGAGACAGGTCTGAAGCACATGCCCTGCTTCAGAAATGAGGAACAAAATATACGATGGGTACTTATTTTTCTGGAACGGTAAGTCGATCAAATTTACCATGATTAAGCTTCAAAATCCTCTAACTATATCAAGGCTTATCCTTCTGGAATGCCCTCCCAGTTATCAAGACTTAGCGCAGAGTTTCCCCGGCCATGATTCTCTACTTCCATCAAACTTGCACCGCTGCTCTTCCCTGTTGGCCGAAACTCTCATCCATATCAAAACCCCCACTTTAAATGACATTCACGCGAGCAATGTGAGCTGCTTTGGTCGGCAGATACAAGCTACCAGTCTGCTAGACCATGTTGTACAGGCAACGTCATTGCCTAGAACACCGAGCTTTTCCGAATTAAGAGCTTTGGACGACAGGCTACGCGAGTTTTGCACTATCATGATGGGTCAGTCTGTACATGGACACCAGTGCGATGCGAGTGGAATTGTCATCAGGTATTATACTTACTCCCGCTGGACGAAGTGAGGCGGTTAATTTCTAATTTGAGATAGATCTCTAATTCGCCTTCATCAGTACATCCTTGAAAACAGCAACTCAATCTCCAGTGAAAACTCTCCATTGCAAATTCGAGAATACTCGCATGTCACGTTTGAGACCTTAGCGAGGATGATGGCGGAAATCGCCCACGACCATGTAGAGCGCTTGATTCCCGATCACGTCGACTCGCTCCCGCTAACATTCCCCTACAACATGCGTACAATGATGAATTTTATCAAAGAACTTCCGGGAAATTCCACTAAGAATGGCTCCCTAGCTGCTGTGGATGGTTTTGCGACGCTCTATGAGGTCGCATGCAACAGATGGCCATCTACTGTGTAATGGCTGACTTGCGTGAAGGTCAGACACCAAGCTGTTTTGTGGCACCAACATGTTTTAATTCTGTCTGGGGCCCTGTGGAATAAATTTCTCGTAAGAGAAAATAGCTGCACTCATTATGCACTGTTCACAAAATACCCTGACGATTGCTGCAACCTGTCAGAACGACACATCACGATTGGTGAAAGCGGGATAACGATTGACAAGTCTGGCTTGGCCGCGCATGGGGTACTCTCCGTACTCGGAGAAAAAGAAAATCCACTGCAAGTACCCTGAAGGTGTAAGGAAGTAAACAGAACTCCCTTGAGTGGTTATTCTCGAGCGGCAAGGTCGTGTCGATCGCGATTACATTCTTGGCGCCTCTGGGGGTCCCCAAAGTATGAATGAACCTCCGCCGATCAGCTTCAAGTTCTTCTTCTATATAACTAACGTGGTGGCCCTGGCCCTTAGTTGAGTCGCCTGCATCCTACCAGTTCCAATGAGTCGCACGATTCTGTTCACAGTCGCGGCTTTGCTGCTCAGCCAGACCCAAGCTGTGCCTGACCGGTCGCCGAAACCTGTCGTTCAAGTTACCACCGATACCGTTCGCCCTGGTGAGCTGGCTAATGTCCACCTGGAATGGCTTGGCAAATCACCTAAAGCTATTAAAGCTGTTTACAACTCGTGCCTTGAACCCGATGGGTCAAACCCGGAGGCAACCATCGGCCATTATACTATCGAACAACAACCTCCCCAACGCCTAGCATGGGCAGTTCCCAGCAATGCTCCATCTGAACATTGCATTTTTGTATACGGCGAGAATCAGAATGGGGAAGCAGACCAGATTATCGGCAAAAGCAAGCCTCTCCATCTAGAACGAAAAGTGCAAAAAAGATCTACTGCCGAGATGGATCTTCCCCTCCTGAAAGACTTCGACTCTCTTGGAACCTGGTTTGACGGAGTATCTGCTATCAAGCAAAAAACAGATAGCAACGGGGGTGTTGCATCCGAAGCCTCGTCCAAGAATACTTCGATCGCGATTGTCGGTGGTGGAATTTCAGGTCTCGCAACCGCTCTCATGCTTGAAAGTGTCGGTCTCCATAATTGGGAAATTATCGAAGCCAGCGACCGGGTTGGAGGACGATTTCGAACAAAATACATGGCCGACACTCAGGAATGGGCAGAAATGGGCCCGATGCGACTCCCACATTCCGTCACCTACAAAGACAATGAGACTCTGCTGTACACCGACCATCAACTCACCTTCCAAATGGCCGAAATTCTGAACAATATGAACAAAAATGACTCTCGCTGGAAAATCGACTTCATTCCCTGGGTTCAGCATCATCCTAATGAGCTCATTGCCCAAGGCACCCGTCGACACCCTGATGGTCGCGTTCCAACGCGGGGAGAAATCGAGGCCGATCCAAGTTTGAAGGATTCACCAACTATGACCAGTGCGGAATACGATGGTACCCAAGATAAGATGGACAAGATCTTGCAAAATACAACAACCCTTAAATTGATCCAGAAGAATGTATGGCAAGCTCATAAGATTGCTATGGATGAAGGCTTGGATGACTGGAGCGAACAGGCCATGATGCGCCATGTCTTCAAAGCCAGCGAGAATGTGACCGATCAAATCTTGACGGATTCAGACTATGATGTTTTCTGGGATGAGCTCCATCACAACTCCAATCTCGGCCTAGATGGAAGCCCTGGTTCCTTAGGCGAGACTCACTGGCTTTGCATCGACGGAGGCTTCAGCCGACTTTCCGAGGCTTTCATGCCCCATATCAAGGATAGACTTATTCTTAACCGGAAAATTCGGAAGCTGGAGTCTGTTCAAGGTCCGAATGGAACAACACGCTCGCGTTTGTCTTGGTATCCAAGTATCACCAATCGAACCTTCGAGTCAAAGGAATATGACTATACAATCATGGCAGTACCGTTCACTATGACTCGCTTCATGGATCTGCCAACTTTCTCCTCGGTACTGGGACGCGCAATCAGTGAAGCCGGAGTGCGCTTCAAGTCCGCCTGCAAAGTCGCTCTTCTCTTCTCGGAGCGTTTCTGGGAGAAAGGCGAGCGACCCATTTTTGGCGGATACTCAAAGCCACCCAGTGATCCAGTCGGCGCACTTTACTATCCTGTGTACGGTTTGAACGAATCGCGCCCTGGTCTAATTATGCACTATCGCGGAGGAGACTGGAGCGATCGCTTCGTCAGTTTCTCTGATGAGGAACATGTACAAACCGTACTGGACTCGATAGTTTCACTACATGGCGAACAGGCTAGAGATCTCTACACTGGTGACTACGAGCGTCTCTGCTGGCTTGAAGATGAACACACTGCGACTGCCTGGTGCAGGCCGGATATCGAACAGCATAAGCTTTATATTCCGGCTTACCATAAGACAGAGCATAACACAATTTTCATTGGAGAGCATACTGCCCCGACTCATGCCTGGGTGAGCTCGTCATTGCACTCGTCTGTCCGTGGATCTGTTCAATTGCTTTTGGAGTTGGGGTTGGTGGATGAGGCAAAGGAATTGAACAGGAAATGGATGGGTCGTTGGATCAAACTATAGATTATTGCAATTTTCCTAGCAAAGGAGGCTGTGTAGCTACGAATAATCAACTACCAGAGCACATAGATACATATTTATCGTTCGCTAAAGTCATAATTAATGCAGAGAATTTGTGACTCCTAAGGTTGGATCTATAATACTTGAACATACATTTCACTGGGGACTAGAGTCAACCTTAGCAAACATAAACACTCTGAATCATGAAGGTCCTCACTTGTAGCTGAAGCATTTCAAATTTTATAAAACTGGATTTTAGCTGACAAGTTCCGGGATAATGGCTCACTAGAGGTAATAGGATGTCAATCGGTGCAAGAAATAACCGTCCAGTCTAGCATTATGATTCAAGTAATTCTTAGCAATACGACTATGTTTGTATATCTTCAGGAAATCCTCAAAGTCACCCTTCTTCTCGAAGATAAACTATTATTCATATATTTAGCCAACTAATGAGATTTACATAAAAGTTACCTCAAGTATACTAAGATTGCCAAGGACTCCGCTGATTGCTAGTAAAATCTAACCCCCAAGTTCCTCGAGGGCGCGCAATTGAGTAATTTCAAGAAATCCTTCGCCTGTGGTTTCCACTCCATGATTCCAATTGGCTTTTTTTTTTCTCTCCGAAGGGCGTCGAATCTTGCATAAGTATGACCAACTTATTGGTTAGAATTAAACCGTTTGTTCAATTTGCATCGGCAATGACCGCCAACGCTCAGTGGAACCAGGTCGCTCGTTATCTTCCCATGTGCCAAGTAAAACTGCATGTTTAGCTCGGCCGATCAGTTTGTGATCCGATTTCGGCTTTGCATGGTAGTTACCTCGGAATTAATCTTGGTATGGGATAGCAATTAAATGTAAATATCTACCTTGGGTTACTAAGTGGATGAAAATGGGGCCTCGGTAATTTCTAGGACCATACTTTGCTCTTTTCTTTGCGTAACTATACCCGGGCTTCTGGGTTGTTTGTGGTTGGGTTAGTTATCTCTAGGCCGCAACCACAACCTGAGGCGAGAACTTCCTTCTCTCCCAAGTACCACCAGATTCTTATCCGCCAAGATATTCCACATGATTTCTTGCTTCCAGTGGCATTCAGAAAAATATGGCTGCATTCCTGAGGATGCAACCCGCTTCGGGCATATTTATGCTGGCCTGCCTTTTCAGCATACTTACCTCCGCTACGGCTACAGTTCTCGATAAAGGGAAGTTAGTCTCACTTGATGGGATAAATTACTGGGTAGGAGGTGTTGCTGTGTCTAGGCTGCCATAATCTGCAGAAGTGAACTGGAATTGGAATGTCTCAGACATCGTCCCGTTGACCGTCATCCGGACAAACGTGTCAACCTTTACATCAGGTACTCTCAATGAAACCATCGCTTCATTCACAGCCTCCGATGATGTTTTTGGTCTTGGCTTCCTCGAAGGTATGTTGTTCGCCCGCTCAGATTCTAAATATCATCTCCCCGGTTCCCGAACCGACTTTTTTCCAGTCATCTTCCTTCAGTACGACGGCCAGGGCCAGGGCCAAATTGACTCGGCTCTTGACTTACATTCGAAGATTGGTGGCAATAAGTTGACATTTATCTCTTCCGAGTATCAATCTCAACCGCCTTTCGTGCAAGCTAATCTACAAAACAGTCTACCGAATGGTCCCTACTTTATCTCACCAGGGACTGGTGATATTTTCAAGGTGTTCCGACTTTATTCAGACCATCAGCTGGCCTTCACCGAAGGAGCTCTCAGTGATGAGATGGGTGGCTTTGTACCTTTGCCAGCCGCAGCAGAAGTAATTCATCACCCAGTCGCCATCCAAATTAGTTACTTCCACTAACTGTATCATCCAGGGGGCCATGACCAAAAGCATCGCCGTACCTTCTAGGCTGTATTACACGCCTACTATCGATAGGCCGCTCGCTGGGGTATGATACAATGCAATAAAAATGCCCAAATGCGTCTGACTGATTCGAAACAGCTTCGTTGTGGTGTCAAAGACATTTTCGATTTGAAGGGTCTACGAACTAGCGGGGGCAACCGAGCCTTCTATGATCTATATTCTGCGAGGAATACTATCGGCTCTTCTATTCAGCGTTTGATTGATGCAGGTGTGGTAATTGTTGGCAAAATGGGAACTGTTCAGTTTGCCAACGGCGATAACCCCACTGCTGACTGGGTTGACTTTCACTGCCCCTTCAATCCGAGGGTAAGTGATACCAGGTAGCATGTAATTATATTCAAACTGACATTATTTGAAGGGTGACGGCTACCAAGCTCCAGGGGGCTCGTCATCTGGACCAGGTGCTGGCATTGCCTCATACGACTGGCTAGATATTGCCATTGGTAGCATACAGGTGGCTCTATGAGAAATCCCGGCAGTCTCCAGGGTATTTTCGCCAACCGGCCCTCGACCGGCGCAATTGGTCTTGACCATATCCTACCGCTATGTCATGATATTGACACGGTGGGAGTTTTTGCTCGCAATGCTGAGACATGGTCCACCACGATACATGCATGGTATCCAAACTTCACCGATTATCAGAAGTACCCAACGAGAATATTTTATCAGAATTCTTCTTTTCCGGGGTCTGACACCGATGCGGGCTCTTTACTCGAGGCCCTTGTTCAAAAGTTGGAGACATTTTTGGGAGCTCGGAGAGAATATGTGGATATTGCTACTCGATGGGAAGAAACACATCCGAATGACGCACCTAGCAACCTGACGGAACTTCTTAATACCGTAAGTATTCTTAATCCCAAATTCCTGATTTTTCGTGCTAAAATGCAGTAAGACATACGCTATTCTCACATCTGTTGGGCAGTATCGCTCTTTGGCTTTGCCCTTCTATGCAGATTACGCCGCGAAGCATAATGGCCGCCATCCATTCATCAACCCCGGTCCGTTGAAGCGCTGGCAATGGGGCCAGAATAACGGTGGAGACCATACTTACAATGTGGCATTGAAAAACAGGACAATTTTTAGAGGATGGTGGGAAACCGAGGGGTATGGCAGGGCCAACTTACACACTTGGTCTGAGGGTCTGTACATCTATCCTTACAGCAAAGGCGAGAGGCAATATCGTAACGTCTACACATCGTAGGTTCAAAACCCTGCTTTTTTTAACATAGACTAACATTCTTAGTGCACCCACGGAGCCACCTATGGGATTCAAGGATGGACGCATATCAAACATGGCCGACGTCCCGGATTTTGTGGTTCCCGTAGGAGAGGTTCCCTACAACTCGACCGTGTCTTTCAAAACAGAGTACATGCCGGTCACTATGAGCTTTGTCGCTGCGCGTGGCTGTGATTTCATGTTGGCCAACCTTATTCGCGACTTACAGACTGACAGGATTCTCAAGCCAGTCAGCACAGGCCCAAAGATGTACCCCTAAATTTCAGAACCTTGCCTTCCGAAACATCGAAAACTTGTTTCTTTCTACCTTTCTAAATTTCAAATGTTTTACATTGAAGAATTCTCACATTATCAAATTTACAATGTCCCGTGCTGCAGTAGTTACCAGTAACAATCTTCAAAGGGCGTCAGAAAAAGCGGCCATTATGTAAATTTTCTATTACTAGCCAGTAACCCACTAATCCTCGCTATCCGTTCTTTTCACTTCCAGGTGCAAATCCCAGTTGACCCATACAGTACCACTTGAGAAACACTCACCCAACTTGTCTTAAACCTAAAGGGGGTAAATAAATTTCAAGTTCTGTCTATCCGTGCGGTCCAGATCACGATCACTAATTTTGACAACCTCACTTCCTGTTTCAATAACTTCGTCCTTGTCCGATTCAGAGTCGTTTTCGAAAAGAAGTTGCCGTCGCCGCTTGTTTTCGCGCTGAAGGTAGAAGCGGATGATGATACACATGGCGGGGGATATAAGCCAAAATGCGGTCATGAAGGCCCACGGTAGGACATATCGAGGCTCGTATTTCGATTCCCAGAATCTAAGAAGATATTTGAATTGAGTTGGAAATTTGAGCCTGGATATTTCTCTCGGAATCTGGTACTCACTCTGGAGATATCATGTTGGCGACAGACGCAGCGACTATGCAAGATGTCATTAAAGTGAGCTTCTTGGTGTGCCCTGTCGTTGTAGTTCCCGCCCAGTTCAGCCCCAGCAAATAAGATGGCTTAAATGTTGAGATCTGGGTTCCCACAACTAGGGCAACCTTATTTGACCATGGGGCAGCGAGCTAGATATCGTAGTGTTAATAAACGAATCATAGCGACATAATTCCGAGTGACTTACCTCGATTATTCCGCCGATGAAGCATGGTATGTAAGATATTGCGCAGGTGTATCCGGTTCCCAATCGCGTACCATACAGCAATGCAGCCGATGCGAGAATCAAAATTAATCCCCAAATGGGCTTGATGATATTGAATAGCGCGCTTTCTGCGGGTGTGAAGCCAAATCCAACGATGATCAAGGGTAGTTGCTGTGAAGTATTATTCGGAAGTTCATTGAAGAACATATGGAAGCTAAACACCAGTCAGAATGTCGTGCAGGTTATAATCAGATCGAAGTGGGTCTTACATAAAAAGCCAACTCTTGAAATCCGCGAAAGACTCGCGAACCTGGGACCATCTGAATGTCGAATTGGAAACACCGGCATGCGTATCACGAATAATCTCGATAGTATGGACCTTTTCCTCGACTGAAAGCCACTTCGCATCGAGCGGTGAATTCGGAAGGAATATCAACAATGGCACAAATATCGCAAATGTAAGGACAGCACAGACGATGTGGAGCCACTTCCAAGAGGAAATGCTGCCAGCGAGCGATCCATTGCCATCGTCAACTATGAGCTTATAGGATATCATGGTCAACATAACATTAGCGAGACTCCCAAATGCCCACCATAATAGTTGAACCCACGGACTCTTTTTCGGTGGGAAGAATGCTTGGTGGAGAACGGCGGTAGAAGGCACAATTTGTGATTCGGTCTATTCTGTTGTTATTGATCCATGTTTCGTTTTACTGAGGTTTGAGTCACAACATACCATTCCCAGAAGAAAGCGCACTGCCATCATTTGCTTCCCCGTCTTGACAGCTGGATGGACACCCAATAGCAGAGCCCAGAGAAAGAGAGATCCAGTGATGAAGTATTTATGCCCCACTCGTTGTGATATCCAAGCACCAGGCCAAAGTGCAATAAGATATCCGGCATAAAACAACATAAAAAGCTGATTGTACTCGTTCTTGGTCATTTTGACGTCGTCAAAAATACCCATTGTACTGGCGGATGAAAGGGTTGATTTATCCAAATGGATGAGGAATGAAATCCACCATGTTTGGATTAGGAGAAACCAAAAGTTCTTGCGAATCAGCTTGCCTTCCATCTCGGATGTCAAAGGCCGGACATGGCCCTTATTCGTGTTGTAGAAGTATGTTGTATCATCGGTGTCCCTTTGGTCAATGACCTTAGGTTGCTGGGACGGCTCGCGGGGTAAATCCCTTGCCTGTTCATGATTACCCTCGCTCGATGACACTTGAATAGTGTTCGAAATATCACTATTCTTCTCTCCTGACATTCTTTCGAGGTACTTAAGATGCAAAATATTTCTGGGATCTCCTAGGAACCATAAGCCCGTCAATTTATAATTTCGTGTCTACTCTCAAACTCTCGGGCATGTCCGAATATCAGAGCGCAGCGCTTCCAGGGTTCCCAGGGGCGCTGAAAACTCATGTGTTTTTGACCGGGTGCCGCGCTTGGGTCTTGACTTCGGCCATCAAGCTCGGCCAACCTTTGCCAATCCTGAAACAAGATCCTCTGTGCGTTCTACCTTGTGAGAAAAAATCCAGCTGCCAAGATGTAGCAGCCTTTTGGCCCGTTCTTGGCTCTGTGCTGCCAAGAATCCTGTGTTGCATTGGAGGACCTTGATATTTGATCGACACATATAATCACGAGATCTGGAGCATTAAATCGTGTGAGACTGATTCTAGTAAGAAGCTAGTAGTTTGTAAATGGCGAGATAAGAGATTCAAGTTTGCTTTCAATACCACAGCAAGGTGAGACTTCAAATATTCTCTAATGTATATTCGTAGTACTATATACTCTAAAGCTTCAGCATACTATCTTGCGCTTGGATGTAGTATGGATAGACCAGAGTACCTAAGAGGACGGCTTGGAAATGTTACGAGATCCACCTGGTCCTTCTTCAAGGCCATTTTTTCGGGGTAGATCGGGTCGCCACCTCCAAAAAGAGCGCATGTAAGACGTACTCTGATCGTGATTCTCAAGTATATCCGCAGCGTGCTTTATTCAAAGCTATTAGAATCCGCGCCAAGCTGCGATAGTATTGACTCACCTTTCCAAGGATAGGTAGAAATTTGGCCCCATGGCCACTTCCACCTGTACAGACAAAGACAGATTTTTCCGCGTAATCCGGTACGTAGTCAATCTATTGGATATGTCGTTAGTCGTAGGGAAATTGCGCCAAGTGTGAGCGATCTAGACACTCACCACGAAGGAATTGTCCAATGAGTCCGTATACCAGCAGAGCTTGGCAGAGTAAAATGGGACGGTACTGAACTCTGGCAAAAAAACAGATACAAACTGCCTAATAGCAAATTCGGCTTGCTCTTGAAGCGAGTGGCATTCCTTTGACGGAAGAGGCACTGACCACTGACCATCCTGAGTGAAGGGCGTACTGTCGGGTGCGGGTTTGAAGTTGGTGAACTGAGATCTTGTTAACAACAATACTTATAGAACAATTTTAAATCACTCACCTTCAATCCACGATAACCAATCTTGAGAAGACCTTCAGGGGTACGGGGCAGCACATATATGCTACCCGTATCTTTTCCGTTGGGATCTCGAGGAGTACTCTTCCAAGTTAAAACTGGGAACTTTTCAGGGGAATACTTGTCCCAGAGCTCCTTGTCACTCGGATCAATTTTGAAGATAGCCAGACTTCCCGCGGAGGATTCAAGATGGTAGCTCAAGTCGGGAAGGATTTGCGTGGAAAAAGACCCAGCTATTTGCGGTCAGAATTATAGTACCATAGACAGGCCTGTGTTCCTTACCAGCAACCACAACAACATCGGCTTTGTGAGTAACACCATCCTTCGTTTTCAATCCAATAACTTTGGCTTTCTCGGAGTCGATTGCACTAGGCTCTTTCACCAGCGAATCTACGGCGCCAGCCTTTTGCCCAAACCAAAACCGAACGCCTTTGGACGCTGCGACTTTCTGGTAATGAGCACAGGCGTTACTGCACCTCACGAAACCAGCCAGAGAGTCAAGCACAGCTTCAAAAGAGCTAGTGGGGGGAGGAATGAGGAATTGCGAAATCGAGCAGCTTATCCTTCCATCCTAAAAGATCTGCGCGTTGTTGGTCTTCGGCGCTACTCTTCACGAACTGCGCATGTCGAAAACCGTCACGCTCCATGTTTGCCAATGTTTCTTTTTCCAACTCTTCGAGGTGGTCCGACGGCTGCACTCGCAACATTCCGCTGTTGACGAAAATCTTCTTCTCCTCTGAATCGGAGGCCTCTTGTGAACAGCCTCGCTTCTCATCCTCTGAAATCCAAAGCTTTCGCCCTTCCATGGCAAGGCGCTGATAATGAAGCTCCTTCCCGTAAGATGCTCGGAACTAGAATTGTGGTTGCTCTCAGCGTTTGATCTCGAGTGCGTAGTGTTCTCCTTCCTGTAGCCTTACAATTTTGTTGTGATCCACCGATGCAGCCTGTATCTCCTCATCGTTTGCATCGTATGAGTTCCGATCATAGTCATACCTCTCAAACACGGTCACTTTGTGGTCTGAAAATTCATCGATAAGTCAACAATTGTTTCAGCACTTCTATCCATTCAAGGAATGCTTACCTCGGTCGCGCAAGGCCACTGCCAGCGATAGGCCGAATATGCCCGCTGTACAAAATCAGCTATTCTCTCCCCGAAGATGCTGTTTTTGATATTAAGATATACTCACCTCCGATAATTGCGACTGACTTTGGCTCCGACATTATGTTCTTGTTCGAAAAAGAGTGATGTGATTAGGAAATGGAAATGAAAATGGGGTGATCGCGATCGTCCCCGCCTTTTAAGTACTCCAACTCCCCGCAGCGGCGGAGCCAAGAGAAGAGAGTTGACCCCCAGGGTCCCTTCAGTCCTTATATTCTGCTATTTTTAACACGCAAGCTACCTTGGACTTGTACTAGTATTACTTTGTCTATATTTTATTTTTCAAGTGGAATATACATAATCAATTTTACCAGCCGATGGGAAGCCTGCAGTTTTGAGGGGGCTCATACTAGCACGATTGAAGTATAGAAAGTTGCCAAACGTGGCATCTCTTAAGCTAAAAAGGCCATTAATATGGAGACATAATATTGTTTTATTCTAAGCTATTCATTCTAATTGGTCATAAGAAAGAAAGGGGCTATTTAGGTGTGGTTGAGTCCTTCTCGGAGTCTACGAAAGAATTCGGTGCCGAAGTAACGCAAGGCTGGTCCTTCTCGGCGCCGAAGGATCCTTCGAGCCCCGAGAAGGAATCAACAACAGCCATATAAGAATAGGAGTTCAAAGGTTCCAATATATGCATTTCAGACTATCAAGTTGAGTCGGCCTAGACTGAGTATTATTTAATTCCTTCTCATCGCATCATACTCGAATAGTCACCATGCATGACACACAACAATCAAAAGAACTAGGAGACACTCCCTCAGATCAGCCCAATGATAAACTCGGCGCAGGCGAAGATGCTACGGGTAATAGCGAGCCTCAAGTTCAATCAGACACAGGGGTTCGACTTACCTTAATTGTGGTTGCCCTTCTGAGTGCTATGTTTCTCGTCGCGCTGGTCAGTCACATTTCTCCTCCGCTCGAAATTTCCAACCACAAACTAAATCAATTCTCAAACAGGACCGAACAATCATTGCAACTGCCGTCCCTGCTATTTCTGATAAATTCCATGCCATCGGCGATATCGGCTGGTATGCCAGCGCCTACCTCTTAACCAGCAGCGCGACACAACTTCTCTGGGGTCGACTATACACCTTCTACTCGACCAAGACACTATTTTTGGCAGCGGTGGTTATCTTTGAGGTTGGCTCCGCTATCTGTGGAGCAGCACCTAGCTCCACCGCATTTATTGTTGGTCGAGCCATTGCTGGAATGGGATCAGCGGGCATCCAGAATGGCGCCACGGTCATTATCACCCAAGTAATGCCTCTGCACAAGCGGCCTCTATTTATCGGTCTGATGGGGTCGATATTTGGAATATCTGCCGTTATTGGACCGCTTCTTGGTGGTGCTTTTACCGATCGAGTGACATGGCGATGGTGCTTCTACATCAAGTGAGTGGTCACCTTTTGCTCGCTGCTACCCTAGCCCAATACACAAACTGACATGTTATCAGCCTTCCCATTGGGGGAGTCACCCTTCTCATCATTTTCTTATTCCTCCGTACACCGTCGCTCTCCACGACAGCAACACTCAGGCGCCAACTGATTCGTCTCGATCCATTGGGCACAGCCCTCTTCCTCCCATGCGTGATATGCTTCCTCCTAGCCCTACAATGGGGCGGTACAACCTACAGCTGGAGTAATGGACGCATAATCGCTCTATTAGTCGTGGCAGGAGTTCTCTTCATCGCCTTTGCAATCGTCCAAACATGGCGCAAAGAAGACGCGACTATTCCCCCACGGATTATCAAACAGCGCAGCATCGCCTGCGCCGCCGCGTACACCTCGCTTATCTACGGGGCCATGGTCGCCATGCTCTACACCCTGCCACTCTGGTTCCAGGGTGTGAAAGGGACTAGTGCCGTTCAATCAGGCATCGACAATATCCCAATGGTTCTGGCCCTCGTCGTCGCGAGCATTATCAGCGGCAAGATCATTGCAAGCGTGGGGCAGTATGTGCCGTTCATGTTCGTTGCGACGCTGCTCATGGCAGCAGGTGCTGGGATGATAAGTACTTTCAAAGTCAACACTGGCCATGCAGCCTGGATTGGATATCAGGTTCTTTTCGGTCTTGGTTTAGGATGCGGGATGCAACAGCCTACCATGGCTGCCCAAGTCGTTCTCCCACAAGCGGACGTTTCAATTGGTGTCGCATTGATGTTTCTGTTCCAATCACTCGGTGGTGCGATCTGGGTCGCTGTCAGCCAGAATCTCTATACAAATTACCTGGTTAAGACATTGCCCGATATTTCCGGTGTCAATACATCTGCGATTCTTCAAGCAGGTGCAACTGGACTCGCAGATATCGTGCCGAAGGACAAACTCAGTGCCGTGTTGGTTGTCTACAACACTGCCCTCCGCAATGCATACTTCGTACCAGTGGCACTTGCCTGCGTCTCAGTACTTCCAGCACTGGGGATGGAATGGCGCAACGTCAAAAAGGAGAGTGAGCAGCGGGAGGCGGAGAAAGCTATCAACAAAGGAGAAACCCCGAGCGAAGCAAGCACATCGTCCTGAGTGAGCGAGAAGCACACATAAATTTTACGTTCTTGCATCATAGTATGTATAAGCACACAATAACTAGTTACAGCAGACTGAGCTTCATTACGGGTCAAATTTTCAAAAATCTCCACTATTTTACCTGCCGCGCATGCATGACATTATTCTCCTCCTCGGCCCCCTAAATTTCCATGGTATAGTTCATGTAACTCCACCAGATCGGCATACGTAAGGCAAAATCAGCCTTGGAACCCTTCAAGCAATGAAAATCTCTCTGCCCTGTAATGATATTCATGAATTATTGTAATTGTCCTCCGTAAAGTGTGTGATTAATCATATGAATAATCACGGCTAGCCGAGCCCGCGACCATCAAACCGATTTCCAGATTCAGAATGTGGGCCACGACCATAGTAAAAATACCCGCGGAGATGAAGATCTACCAAATGTAACCAAGGGGCGCTCGTGTTCACAAGCGCCTCCAAGCCGCACTAAGCTTATATTGGTGTGCTCCATTTAATCCTCATGAAAAAAATGCTCTAGAATCTTTCGGCTGCAGGAGGAACGGGGCAAACGGTAACCTCCGGGGGGTTTGTGCACCCTCGATCGACCCACATATCCACCCAGCCCACCAGCTAAGCAACAGCTAGTTACTCCGTAATAGATTCAGAACCCACCCACCTGGTAGAGGGTGGAAAAAAGACGCGAGAGGTGGGAGCTGGTTGGTGGATTTGTCCGTCGGGACTCTGCTACCATAACCCTGACTGCCGGAATGATCCCGAAATTTGGGAACAATGGTGCCATTCTGCAGAAGTTTATTTTGTCAGGTCAGGGGTAAGTACTCCGTAGAATAAACGGTAGTTAGCCATGTGCAAACTACTAGCTAATCAACTAACTAGTTAACATGATTCTATGTACATGTGAAAGTCTCCACTGTAAACTCAAGCAGTCTTTCTAAAGGGGAATCTCCTGACGATTATGTTCATAGTTCTGTATGAGGACGAGTATTTGCTGTAGTTACTCTAGTTAGTAGATGGCAGATGAAGATGATCAAATATAAAGATCGTGTATTATGTAGAGAAGAAAAGTCTGTAGCAGACAGCTGCCTCATTAAGGTAAGTACAGGGCCAAAGGGGTATTAATCATATGTACAAAAATCAAAAAGCCCTGTCCAAAGTAGAAATATCATTCATCGTCCATTCCATTCACCTCAAACTCCATTCAATTCAACTCTTAAAGGCTTCGACGAAAACTTTGTTCGGCGGACTCGCTCGGGGCAGGCTCGTGGGATATTTCAATGGTAGTCTCTTGGTACACTCCATTGAGATTATTCATTTCGATATCGTTCTTCGGGACGATATTCTCGGTCGAATCCTCAAACGGACTCTTGTGCGCATCCCTATCAATGTGAGAAGCGCCGGGCCGAAGTCGCGAGCCCAAGCGAGAACTCATCAATCCTCCGCCTTTGGACTTTCTCGAGCGGCTCCCGTTGGCGTTGGTAGTGATCTGTGTCTGCCATTGAGAGTCGGTGTTATTATCGTAGTTGCGGTCGGTGGTACTGTGCTCGGTATCGATGAGGAGGTGGCGACGGGTCAGCGTGTAGACTACCACGTCCATGAAACCAGAGAGCGCCATCAAACAACCGGCAATACCGAAGTAGGTTTTGCTGGGAGAGTCACCCCGGGCTGTAGCCATACGACCGGCGGCGAGGGGTAGTGATAGAATCAGGTATACCAATGGGTAAACAACCATGTAAATAACGACTCGGTTCAATCGGTGCAAGCTTTCTTGTTGGCCTCGGCGGAGCATCTTTGCTTGCGTCATCCGGCGGCGAAGATAGAAGAACATGATGGCGTAAAGAGCGATGGTGCCGAACTCGGAGAGGAAAATCCAGATATAGTGGCCCCAGAGGCGTTCGTTTTCGTTTTCGGGGCTCAACCAGCACTATGGAAGGAGAGAAGTCAGTCATTTATCATGATAAGAAGGACAAAACTCGTAGGCATTGTACATACCCAGTTGGCTTCTGAGATTACAAAAACATTTTTGCCGTAGAGGCCAACAGGAATGAATCCCAAAATCAGAATGAACATCCACAATGCGACAACACAGTAAGCGAAGATGTTGAATGGTAACTGTCTACCACGCATCACCACTGCACCAGTATGCAGCGCAATAGAAAGAACGAACAGCCCACTACCGGGGTCACCCGTCTGAACCCACCATCCCTGCAAGTAGCAAGCCGGTTCACCAAAGTGAACACTACCCCGGGATGCCCAGTAAAGACTGATGGTAAAGGCAATAGCCTGTTGCAGATCGGCAAGTAGAAGATTGTAAATGAGAACGACGTATTGGTTCTGACCGAGCGGGCTTTTATAGTAGCGCTGCCAGTAAATGAACCGATAGGTAAGGAATGACAAGAGGCCGAAAGTAGAGCATAGTGAGAAGAGGGCAATTACTCCCATTGCAATAAAGAGCGACCGATCGCTACCCTCAAGAGGAGCTTCATCACGAAACTCCCAGCGACGGGCAAGAGAGCCATCACCCCCAGCAGTAGATAAAGAACGTAGAACGTGAGCAAGCATCACGAGGTACGGATGCGGAGAGGGATCCGAGGAAGGAAAAGCGAGGGGACTGGGGGGGAAAGAAAGACTTTGTATCAGAAGCCAGAAAGGCTTTGAGAATCGGCACACATGGATTCCAGGGCTTCGGCTTGAACCGTGTCCCATGCTCCACCGACTTGCACAGTCAGGAAGCTTCTTTTGGGAACGTCGATCGGCCAAGCCAGTAGGCGATCCTGTCAATTGTTCTCCGTATTGATGCTCGTACGGAGCATACACCAGGTACGAAGCAGATCCATGGTTCCCATCTGACAAAGTGGGCGTACTATTTGGCAGGCAGTGGAGAGCGCAAGTACCATATACTCCATCCAGGAAAGAGAATGAGGCTGAGTGCGTGGGATTGGGGACCCGGCAGCTGGGTCCCTGGCGAGAATCCCCACCATTGAGCGGTGCGATGGAAGATAATCATGAGTTCCAAGGTTTGCCCAAAAATGGGGCGTCAATCAAAGAGTCGAACGGGACAGCCTAAGCTCCGACGGTGCAAATCAAGCATCGGGGGATTGTCTACGTATGTACATGTTTTTGTAGAGTGGGTAGTTAGATGAACCGGATTTTGACCTGGTGGGTTCTCCGTTCGTATTGGGCGTACCGATCCACCTCAAAAGTGTGGGAGGCGAGATGCTCACGGATGTTCAGGGGGGACCCAAAGTATGTATGCGAGTGTTATGGAGTGAATGATCCTTATTTAGATAGTATGGTGAGCGAGGAAGAAGAGAGGGGAACTCCTTTTCGACCGCGTGGCAACCCCAGATACTTTCATTTCTGAAGTTTAAGTTGCGCATGAAGGTGGGTATACCGGCCAACGTGCAGGGACGAAGAGGCAAACATGCCGATCCAACGATGAACTTGCGTTTGCGAGGGTTCAAATAGACGCCGATCCCGCCATTCTTGAATCTCTGGCTCACTGGGGGAACTCCGATGAGTGTACAGAGCTCCGTAGTAGGGGGGCAATATCATCGGCGGAGTCCATATTTTCGCCAACAGCCCGGATCATCAGAGGATCAGAGTGGGTGCTTGGTGGGGACGCGAGCTTCGATGAGCACGAACCAGATGGAAATTGAATTATTACGTACATAGTGTTGTTGGCTCGGTCCGACCTTGTATTGGGGTAGGGACGGGATCCTTCAATCAATAGGGGCTGTAACCGAGTGCATGGAGGAAAGAATCCTGAACTTAAGTCCCTGGAGCATAAGGTTATCAATCTTGGCGGGGGCCATCTATTTGGAATGGGATGAGAGGATACTTCGTACTCCGTAGTATGGTTGATGTTCTAGTTCATGGTGGTGGTGGGTAGTGGTGTAGATGTAGAAGAGTTAACCTACCAAGGAACACCATGTATTTCAATACCAAGCTTATCAATCTTGGTATCTCGCTATCCTTCAACAAGCAAGTCTCCGTGGCGCAATTGGCTAGCGCGTTCGACTGTTAATCGAGAGGTTGGAAGTTCGAGCCTTCCCGGGGACGTTCTTTTTTGTCTTTTTGCCTCACCCCATCCATACCATACTACTTCATGTATAGTTTATTTTTTATTTTTGGTATATAAATTAATACATTTAATGAATCTACTACACTACTACCAATGCTTCATAAGGTCCCATCCCTAATTGATATATCAACCTGACTCAGCCCATTGTGGAATCCCTAAATGCAACCTTGCTCTCACCTCACTTCATTCACCTATGTACTTCGCCTCATCTTGCCATACCGTGACATTCTTTAAAAAACCGGCTTTGATAGCCTAGTGGACCCTGCAGAAGATCTTCACACCACATGATATTCCCCTCTCCGGATAAAAAAAATATAGTCAAAGTCTCGCTTTGAGTATGTCTCACTCTTCTCCCGTCCACACCCGCCCCGCCCCACGATGAATACCCTGTTGCATCGGGCTTGACAACCACAATTGCGGTCAGGTCAGCTGTTGAGTCTGTGATGTCCCGCCTTATGTCTAAGACCTGCACCGGCGTTAGATGCATTAGGCCGCAGCTAGACAGGAATAGAAGTCATCCATTCTATACATCTGGGCATCGTGATGCTCCGCTCAAGGATATATAAATGGGCTGTGTATACCAGGCCATATTGATAGAACCATCAACCTCAGTTTCTCTCCCGAGTCACACTATCAAAACCACAAAATTTAATATAGACATTATTCTCTATACTATCTTCTCACTATGAAGTACTTCACTGCCATTACCGTCGCCCTCATGGCCTCTCTCCAACTCACCGGCGCCGCCCCAGCACCCCAACCCGAGGCCGAGGCCGAGGTTGACCTCTTCACCCGCGCAACCTCAGTGTCTGTCTCCTACGACCCCAAGTTTGACGTTGCAGGCTCCTCTCTCAACACAGTCTCCTGCTCAGACGGCGTCAACGGTCTTGTGAGCAGATACCCGACCTTCGGCAAATTGCCCACCTTCCCCCTCATCGGAGGTGCACCCACCATCGCCGGGTGGAACAGTCCCAACTGTGGCAACTGCTACTCGCTGCACTATAAGGGTGGCAAGGTCGACAAGACCATTAAGGTCATTGCCATCGATGCCGCACCTGGTGGTTTTAATATCGGTAAGCAGGCTATGAACCTGCTCACCAACAACCAGGCTGAGGCATTGGGCCGTGTCACGGCTACCTACACCCTGCTCGCGGATAGTGAGTGTGGACTGTAGAGACCCCAAGGCCTCCAAGGTTTCAATGGATAAGACAAGATTGGGCCGAATCGACGATAGCTATGAATAGATCAGAGTCTACAAATAATGCATGGATGAGACATGGCGGGGAAGTCGGGAGGAAGGAATGCTGGTAATTTATACATCAGCCAAGCCAGCACACTGGCTGCCGGTGGGGATGAGGCAGAGTGTTCTACAAAACCACCAAAAAAATATCTACCACTGCCTACTAGTAATATACATAGCCATACATACTACAACATGTACAAGAATGAATCAAAGTACTTGCAGCATATCCTCGACCCTCCCAAATTTATCCCGCACTTTACCCTTTTGTAAACCGCGCTCGCGCTCCACCGCATCAATACGCTGCCAATCCTTCCAAGACGTGGGGCGCAGACCGCGGCGCTCGGCCTCCTCTTTGACTCCGTCCCAGCCGAGACCAGTACTATCCCGAGGTGCATGCAGGAGAGAGCCTGCTGAAGAAGTATGACTAGTCAGGTCTTGAATTATGGTATCCGCCGTCGTGAAGGCATCCGTCATAGTCGATGCAATCACGCCCGTGGGCCCACGCTTGACCCAACCCGCACAGTACAGACCAGGTAAGTGGGTAATCACCGAGCCGTCCGGTAATTTTCGCGGTTCCCCGGACCCTGAGAGGCTCTTTACGCGGCCAAACCCGTCGTTGGAGATCACGCCGCGCTGGGTATCGAATTGGATGCCTAGATCTTCCAGGCCTGGGAGGGGGAGGGACTTGTAGCCGACGCTACGGAAGAAGACGCTGGCGGGGAGATTGACCATGGCGGGTTTCCCGCTGGAGAGGTATTTCGGCGTTACCTTGGAGGTTGGATTATATGGGTCTGAGGGGTCGAGCTCATTGCGGGAGAACTTGGCATGGGTGAGGTGGTAGGGGTGAATGGGCGACCAGTGGAGGGAGTCGGGAGAGAGAAGGAAATCAAGAGACCAGGATTTGGGGGATGTTTTGGGATCATTCGCCGAGCCTTTGGCTAGTAGTTGCATGAGGCGTTTCTGTGCGCGGGGGAGAGCGTTGATGACTGATTCAGGTGGAAAGACATCTTTCGCGATCGGATCGAAGGAGACGGATGGGAGTTGGAGGAGTTCACGGACTTCTTTGATAGTGAAAGATGCCTATAGCAGAATTGAAAAGAAATTAGGATCAATTTGGCAATTGCTGTTGGACGCAGATATCTGCTGTTACTCACCTGTAGTGGTCCTCGACGGCCAACCACCCGGACTCGTTTGATTTTACTCTTGGAAAGCTTCTCCAAAGCATAGTCGGCGATATCGGTAGACCGGAGAGCTTCAACATCGGAAAGCAGGATCCGGGCAACATCGAGCGCAACATTGCCCTGTCCGATCACCACGGCTTCTTCCCCGGTCAAATCGGGGTCGAGATCCCGGTGCTCGGGCAAGCCATTGTACCACCCGACAAATGCCCGGGCAGAGTGAACACTGCGGGTGGCCTTCTCCCCAGGAATCCCTAGCTCTTTATCCTTGGACGCGCCATATGCGAAGAGGATAGCGTCGTAATGTGGTTTGAGGGCAGATAGTGGGAGGTCGTTGCCGAGGTCAACGTTACCGACGAAGTTGAAGCGTGGAGAAGTGGCAACCTCGGTGAATTTGTCTTCGCAGTTCTAATTAATTTTTTATATTAGCTAAATTATCGCTATAGCTAGAGGATTCATAGCCTCTCTTGGGACCTTCGACTGCCGAGCACTCACCTTCACCTCGGGATGGTCCGGAGCCACGCCGTATCGTGCTAAGCCAAAGGGCACTGGAAGCTTTTCGTACATGTCAACTGTCGCTTTATCATGTTTACTCAAAAGACGTGCAGCCGCATAAAATCCGGCCGGACCAGATCCCACAATGGCGACTCGGGCAGGTCGGCTTCCGGTGGCATTGCTGCTTAGCCGCCGAGCGGAGAAGGGCACCGCTTTGGACCAGAGGGAGCGCCGGGCCAGCTGCACAGTACATTGTGTACAGACAAAGGCACGGTCCAGCATGGCTAGTGCGGGGTGCAGAAGGCTGAAGCAAGCCTGTGCTGTATGAAATTGTTGGGTTGAGCAGTCACCTTCGCAGCTCCGCGGGCAATTCCCAGGGTTGCCCTGAATGATTGATCTGATATGGCTTATCGGGAGGCACGTGATCACAATCACACTTATCTCGGGTCGGCCAATCAAACATCCGGGCCGCGATCGCCCGCCTAACGCTAGTCCGTATGGGGGATAGCGGGATCTGTTGGCTCGGCAACGGCGCAAAGCATCAAGAGGGTACGCAGCCTCAAGTGTCAACTGTCAGATCACATCCCCCCATTCCGAGTTTCATTCCTCCACATTCTCACATTCCCTTCTCGCGTGGTCTTCCACGGGTGCTTTCAGTCGCTACCATGGGGAGATCGTCGCCTCCATTCATTTACGATCGTCAATCGACCTACAGTTTCCATGGACCCACCGATCACGGCTTCAATCCCAAGGCCGTGACGCAAGCGAGCCGGATTCGCGCGCCGCCGAGGGAAAAGCCCAATGGCCCTTTGGTCAACTTCAATCGACACCCAGATACGGTATGCGCACGAACCATTGAACCTAGCTTCATAGTTGATCGCAGCACTGACAATATAAATAGTGGGGCAGCTCTGAGAACAAATCAACATGGACTCCCATGAGTCCAAACACGAAGAAACACGTCAAGTGGGCTCGTGGAACCCAGCTGGGGCTGCGTGCAGTTACTCTACTTGGTGCGCTGGCATCGCTTTTCTTCTCCATTGTCATCAAGAATGCTGCTGTGACTATCATTTGGATTATGAGGGCGGGCGTAAGTGTCCACCATCCTAGGATCCACAATGCGATCGCTAACTCCAAATACATAGCCTATCGTTGCCACTCTGCATACGATCTATGGCATCTATCATTTCTCGCGCTCCCCTGTCAACCGCCCTCCTGCTTCGCAAGCCAGTTACGGAATTTTCGCCTCGACCCTTGACGCTGGGTTGATCCCATTCTACGTGTTTACTGCCTTTGTCGCCCACCAAGAATATACCCAAGATGCGTACAACTGGAGTACCCTTTTGGATAACAAGGTCGGCATGATCGTGCCAATTGCCCAGGCAACTTTCATTTGCGCTCTTGTCAATGGGGGGATTGCACCTCATCTCGCTCGGCGTATCAATATTCTTGGCTGTTATGTTCCGAAGGATCTCTCACTTGCCACCGGATATGAACCCACTAGAAGACAACCTCACTGCCCGTCCTCGCAGAAGCCGCAAGGATATTGATATCGGCGAGAAGCACATGAGCTCCTCCACCTTGAACTCCGAGGATCCACTCATTGGCTCTCCACGGACTGTGGCATTCATGCATACGCGAGGTGACTCTGGTGATTCAGCTTACCAGTCTGGTGGTTTTATGAGTGATAAACGCCAATCACAGGTCTCTGTTCAGCCTCACCGTCTCTCGCACTTCGAGCCGTCAAGCCCCGAGATGCTCTTCCAGCACCCTGCTAGCCAGCCATATGATCTTATCGCCAACGTGCCAGCTCCTGAGTATGATGTACCGGCGCCTGAGTATCGGAATGTTGCAAGGCACTCTGCAGAGGTCGTTAATCCCGGTACTCAGATGCGCCACATGACATCCCGCGCTGCCGACCGGTCAAACACCATCAGCCCCCTCTCGGACAACTGGGTCGCCTACTCAGAGCGCACAGTGTCACCGATGGATGAAAACCAACAACAGAATGACGAGAATGCCCTTCGACAGTCTTCCTCAGTCTACAGCAGACGTACCAACTCGACTGCTACATCCAACAACGGTGGCTTCCGGGACTGGTTCGCATATGGTCAGAAACCTGCTAGCATTGGAAGCGTGATCCCTGAAGATACCCGAGGGGAGTATGCTGAACTGGCAATCCATGAATACTACGGCAACGAAGAGGACAAGGAGCAAGATCTTGGTGAAACACGCTTCAACATCTTCCCTGACCCCGAAGAGCACGACCATGATAATCTAGACGATGAGAACTCGAAGGATCTCCCCTTCAACCCGCTCATGCTGAACCCTCCAACCCCTCAACCCATCCTTACCGAGAAGCCCGAGGACACCGACCCTGTCCGACGCTATGCTCTGAGCGACAACCCGAATCTTACAAACAACCAGTCAAAGGCCCCACAACAACCTGGATCCACCGACTCCACCCCTACCAAGGGCCGCTTCTACGGAGATCTCGAAGAGGAGGGTATGCCTGGTGTAGACATGTCCCGCAACATCAGTAACCAACAGCCCATGACCCGCCAGCCAACAAAGCTCATCAAGAAGAAGAGCAAGAAGATGTCCGCTTATCAATCTCTCAAGAAAGACGACAGCGGCGATGAGGGCTACCTGAGCAGCCGCTCAGCGGCAATGTCAGAGGGTGATCGCAGGGGACGTGTCGTCAGCAACTCTGGTGCAGACACAGCCCGAGCTGGTATTGGTGCTAGTGTTGGTGCCTCCTTATCTTCCTATGGTAGCTATATTGCCGGCCTGGGCGTCGGTCGTCGTCGTGACGTGAGTGGTAAAATCGCCGAGGAGGGACGTGGCAGCCAGCCCATCGAGGAGACTCCAAGTCCGAATCAGCAACAGAGCCAAGGAGCTTCACCGACCCGGGCTGCCGGATGGGCGAGATTTGCCGGACTATGATGAAGAGACGGAATCAAATGGAATGGAAATGTGAATGGGAATTGGATATCCAAGGGACTTTATTTTGTTTTGATTTATTTACTGGGATCGGCGTTTTCACCATGTTTCTATGAATGGTGGCATGTAGCGAGCTATTTCTTTTTCTTTTCCTGGGCTTGTTTAGCGGCCTTCTTTGATTTGCTTTCTGGCTTAGGCTGAACATGGCCAGCCTTTTCATTTCGATGTTGATCTTATGTTTTTTGTATCTATGAGACAATTCAAGACTTTCACAAATTAGGATTGAGCCCCCGGGAAAGACTGAAACCGAATAGATATTTGAGATGTGTATTGAGATACCATACTAGTAGTTTATAGGCCGACAAAATCTTGCTTGAAAAAAGTACCACCTGGCCAATTAAAAGGCGGGCATGAGCCGTTAGTGTTCTGGCCCTAGTCTCCGACTACTAACTATTGGCTGACTAGGGCTGTTAACAAGAGGCATCGGATACTTAAAACTACTGTACTGACCACCCTGCGCTTATAGAGCGCCGTAATCTATCACGAAGTTCCCCCGCTAGCACTGAGTGCAGTAGTAAATTCGAGGGCGACATACTACAGTGGCGTTGCAAAAGTTTGAAACCCCATATTGCCTACCATGATTTACCGCCTACTAATGGGAAACTGGTAGCTACCTGAGATGGAATAGATTGGCCTATCTATTCCATCTCAGGTAGCTACTAGTCCGCGATTAGAAGGCGGAGACAAGGACAGTCAACATGGGGTTTCAAACTTTTGCAACGCCACGTACTACAAGGTTTTGATTGTCGCATTTACGCCGCAGCGTAGCGGCTGTCAACTAAGTAAGCTAGATACTGGGTCATTGAAGAATTGAAGAACTGAAGAATTGACTGAGTGATTGATTGACTAATTGAATGATTGAGCATGATGGTGGAGAGGGGGAAGATGAAGCTATCGAGAGATGCTAACTAACAAGAACATCATGAGGCGACACCTTCCTAGTGCTCATAATGCTCAGTCTTTTCCCCTGCTTGGGCCAGGGCGAAGGGGCAGATTTTCTCCCACTTGACGGACCTCGGGGGCCGAGGCAGAGGCAGTGCCGCGCAGTAAAGAGTCTCCATTGATCGCTCCGATTGGTTCTAAATCCAGCACAGTCGATAGTCTAGCCCAAGTCTCCCACCGCATCCGCATGATCACCAGAGATGAGCTGCTCTTGAAGGCGTCGACCACGCGTACGTGAAAGGGTGCCGGCAGGCGCTTGATAAAATTCTCGAAATCTTCTATGTTCTCGGCTTCGGGGCCTGTGAGCGTAAGCTTGACGAGAACATGTTGAGCGTCGGGCTTTGGGAGCTTCGGTCGAGGGATGCGGGATGGGGAGGGGCTTCGCGGTGCTGGTTTCTTCTTGAAATTCAGCAGGATTGGCTTGAGTCCCCCGTTTTGCTGAAGAACTGGAGTTGGCGAGTCCTGGGATCTGGTGAGTTGCAATCTCTGGAACAGTGTTTCCGTATTGATGAATGTTTCTTTGAACTTGTCCGCCCAGTCAAGCTGACCGGCAAGTCTTTGTGTGAAAGTGGTGGCTCGAGGAATACCCCGGCCACGGGCTTGCTCAGATGCTAGGCAGGCCGCCAGGACTTGAACTGCCGGCGCCAAGGGGTTCGTTACTCCCCCGAGACCTGATTTGCAGCAATCGAGAATAGCGAGGATGCTGGTGTAGGTGTCATCCATAAAGTCCCGAACCCGGCTCCAGAAAATGTGTCTGCCAGGCTTCAGGCTTTTGAAAACGTGTTCCGACTTGCCCCCGACGGAAATGATATCGCCGTGACCGATATACGCGAAAATGAAAAGCGTCTGAAGGGGATTTTCAGCGGGATGGTCGTCCATCATCATATTGACGATTTTTGAATGCAGCGACAAAGTTGGCATTAGCTCCGTGTCCGGAATTTTCCACATATCCGCCTCGATTCCGAGTAGATTCTTGAAGGTACTTTCCAGTATCTTAGCATCAGCTTCTGCGCCTGTGTCGTCGTCCTCCCAATACACGATTATAGCGCTGGCAGTAGCGTATCCATCGGTGCGAGCATTGATGGCAAGCTGGATTCTCTGCTTCAGCTGTGGGAGGGGAATTTTGGAAAGTCTGCCGGACGAGACCGAGGAGGTCGGGGAGGTCGGGGACGTAGGGGAGGCCGGGGCCGGGGCCGGGGCCGGAGAAGCAAGCTTTGGAGGCTTGGAAGGGTTGGAGGATGGGTTCATTTTGACAAAGTGAACTGGAAGTGAGAGAAGGGATCAGTTGGAGGTAGATGGAATAGATGGAGTAGATGAAGTGGAAGTGAAGTAGAAGTGAGAGAAGGAATGGGATGGAAATAGAAGGAATAGATGAAGTTGATGAAGTGGAAGTGAGAGAAGTGGAAACCTACCCAGGTGTATCAGTTGAAGTTGAAGTTGAAGTTGAAGTTGAAGTTGAAGTTGAAGTGGAAGTGGAAGTGTGAAAGTGTGAAAGAAGTAGAAGTGGAAATGGAGAAAGAGTAGTTTAAATAATGGGCAACATAACAGTGAATGTAGAATCGAGTACTGCCTAGGCATCCATGGATTCAGGAAGTTGAACAATAACTTGAAGTTGTTGAACTTCTTCCGAGTCCCAATCTGGCAGCGGCCGTACAATATAGGCCAGAATTATACAATATAGTTCGAATTCGGTGCCTACTAGCCTTACTTGGGAACAATAAGCACTTCCGAATCCGAATATGTGGGCGGCCTACACAATATAGGCATAGTAGTTTGATCAGGCTGAGCTTAACAGTCAATTTAATAGTCAGTTCAATGGTAGCAGGCAGGTGGTTAGAGCACTCCCTAATACTGTAGTTCTATACTAACTACCTAGTATCCGCTGCCCCTTGTTGACAACCGTATTCGCCGACTTCTATTAGCAAACTAGTAGCTACCTAAAGAGAGAGTAGTAGATAGGCCAATCTGTTCCCTCTGAGGTAGCTACTACGGAGTAGTTAGCCGTAGTTAGTGGTTGGACTCCACTCCCGCGACATGATTGGACGAGATATACGAAACAGCTTCATATACAGTAGCTAGCTTCTTCAGGAGTAAATTTCGGCGTAGTTCCGCAACTTTCGCTACTGAAAGACGCTAACGCTACCGCATCGCCTGCCGCTACAATGCCTTTCTCTCGCCATCCTCACCAACGGCCATCACGATTAAGACTATGGGTTTCTGGCGCAGCACTTTGAGCCTGACGGCGACAGCTTTGGCTGTTGTGGCTGCAGAGCCCACACATCGACCAAGGCCCGCTTCTCCCAGAGCTATCGTCGACCAGGGAGTCATCAAGGGCTTTGTCCAAAATAATACCGATGTCTTTTTGGGTATCCCCTTTGCCAAGACCACCGCTGGCGAGAATCGCTGGAAGGCTCCGCAGCCCATTGAATCATTCCACAATGATCAATTCGAAGCCACTGCGTACGGACCATCGTGTGCCCAGGCCATGTCTGGCACAGCAATCACGGAGCAGAGTGAGGACTGCCTTAGTCTCAACATCTGGGCTCCGCGCCAGGGAGTCAACCTTCCCGTCTTTGTCTATATCTACGGCGGCGCCATGGTCACCGGTGGCAGCAGCAACGCTCAGTGGCAAGGACACAACTTTGCTCGCAGTGGTGTTATTTATGTGAATCTCAATTATCGCGAGAGCATATATGCCTCGCCCAATTCACCTGAACTCCAGGGAAAGTCGCAGAACTTTGGAATCATGGACGTGGAGCTAGCCTTGGAGTGGATTCACGACAACATTGAAGGTGCGTTTTCCTTTTCTTGGTGAATCCCCGCCTTCACATAATTATGGCCTCCAACTAACCTAATCAATAGCTTTTGGTGGCGACAAGTCGCGCATCGTACTGGGTGGGCACTCATCTGGTGGAGTGCACGTTGACCACTACCTCTGGAATCACCCAGACACCTTCCTGGCCGGTGCAATCGAGATGTCTGCCAACGCCCAGTCTGGTCCCGCCATTGCACCCGCGGGTGTGGCACTGAAGCAGGTCGTGCAGGGAATGCTGGATGCCGGGTTAAGTCTGAGCTGTACGGCCGAAGACTACACTCTGGACTGTCTGCGTGCCGCAGACACTTACGCTTTCCAGACGACCTCTTTCAACTCGACCCTGAACACCTGGTTCTCACCGTCGGTGGACAATATAACCCGCTTCTCCAATTATGTCGATCGTTTTGCCAAAGGGCACTACCCAACATCGCTGCCACTGATTGTCGGTAACTCCGACCAAGAGGGCAAGATATTCGGCTACGTTTACGGCAGTGAGAATACCAATTTCTCATCCTGGATCCGTACCTTCGACGCGGATCTTGCCTTTGTACCGACGGACGAGCTTATAGTCGCCTACAATGAAGCCGACTATGACTCGATCTCTCTGATGAGCGGCGCCTCGTACGGCGACGCGCGTTTCCTCTGCGCGACAGATTACCTACTGGACATGCGCTCCAGCAAACAACCTACATGGATCTATCGCTGGTTCGGAAATTACTCGAACGTGCTGCCAATTCCCAACCTCGGACCCTCGCATGGTAGCGAGGTTCCCTTTTTCCATGGCGGCAATGAGTGCTTCTCGTTGTTAGACGGCGTTACTGACGCGGAACAGGAGCTAGCAGACTATATGCACCATTGGTTTGTCGAGTGGATTAAGAACCCGAGTGCTGGGCCTGGCTGGGCGCAGGCTCGACCGGTCAATGGCCCTCTGGCACGAGTGGGTGTACCTGGGCATGAAGAGAAGCTTATGATGGGCAAGACTGGCATGTATAATAGTCGCTGCCAAAAGGTTTACAAGCCTAACTATCCTACGTACCCAGTGGTGCAGAACCCTGTGTTTCTGGCTGAGAGTCATTGAGAGGGAGAGAGACATAGAGCTAGAATCTGGTCTTTTTGAATAGAATTTATAGAAAGGTTGATCTAGTTCCAAGGTTACTAGTAATTACTATTTCCTGTTTAATCAAGGACCACTGTACGCATGTCATGCAGCATGGGGTCGAGAGGAGACCCGCGAATAGTGCTATCCAGTTTCTGGAAAAACCTGGCGTAGCATGAAAATCGGAGACCTCCAGAGTAATAGTGCTCATATCGCTCAAGTTCACCGAAAGATACTAGAAATAACTTAAGCCCAAGGAAACAATGAAACATATCAGAGTGGCCCCCCAAAGTGAGGGGTAAAACGAGAGAAGACCCTCGCTACCATAGCCTATATTCATAGAGTTGTTTCCGAATCCCACGGTTCGAAGCCAAGAAGGAGTTGAGCTGGTGTTGACCAGGATATCCGAGTGGTAGGGGTCAATAACCCCGGAGAAGGAAACCTTGAACCTGCCCTGTACATCATAATCTTCCCTTGTCTGCTCCCTTGGGTTCTTCTGAAGAGATACACCATAGGCATATCCCTCCAAAGTGAGATTGGCAGTTCGGCTGTCGAATTGTAGCTCGACTGCTGGGTACGTCCAATTCCAACCAGCCTCTTCAAGAGAGTTGAAGTTGATGAGCTCCATGTCATATTGGCCTTTGAAGGAGGCATCGCAGGGTGCTAGATCCATATCGAGAGAATTAAACGTATAGGATTTTCCAACAAGGGTGCCTGTCAGATTATATGGAGCATGCTTGATGCCAAAGGACGATGTCAAATTGAACACGTCCTTGACGAAATAGTATGGAGAGGTCCAGTTGCCGGGTAAGATACTGGGCGCGTCGCTGTTAATAGAGTTACTAGTCGCGGACGTTACCCATCTGGAATAGAATTAGAAAGTGATCTTAATTTGTTTCAAATCTAGTATTACTTACGGGCTGGACTCGAGGTGCCATTTCCACGATGATGATATCCAGGTAAGGTCCGAGTCGGTCTCAAGCGATGAAAGGTTCGTTCCCAAATCCCAGAGGGCCAACAGTATATTCACTGGATTTACGCCCACGTTGTAAGGCCCCCTTTCAGTAATAGCGATAAAAGATTCGTAACTCGCAGTGAATGTTTGATTTTGGAGATTTTTGCACACTGATGTGTTGACATCCCGTCCGATCTCGGGTGTGAACTCTACTTTCGTTGTACCGTTGTAATATCTGTGACAGACATTTAGTACTGGGCAATCAGTTACCCGACTCGGACTTTTAACTTACGAGCCAACCCAGAGGTATATTTCTGAGTCATTGATCCAGGTTGTTACGTTTCTTGGCCGTAATGGAAGAGATGCATTGTAATCTGGGTCAGCTTTAGAGGAGACGATCAATGGATAAGCGAAACAACAAACGAGTATTTGTAGAGCTCGCCTCATCTTGCTATACGAAAGAGGATTCGGAAGAAGTGAAGATTGACAACAAAATAAATTCGAAATGACTTTTGGAGACAGAAATAGAGAAATATTCATGGATAATATGAAAACCGCTGGCGGAAGAGCCGAACTAGCCGGTACCGGGGTCAGGCTTGGTGCTCTTGACAGCCCTACTCCGTAGTGGGACTAGAGTTAGTTCGTGGCTGCAGGAATGATGTGACATTGAACACCCGGGCGGTTAGAATAGTAGGAGTCGCTTTTGAAGTTACTCTTCCCATTCGTCCAAAGCCTTCGGCAGATATTACCCCTCCAATCGAGGATTGCCTCATGGCGAGCACTAACGCACAGGACATGAACCGGGGAAAATGCTTAGTCCATTTTTCCAAGATCAGCGTTGAGCACAACAAATGGCTTGGCCAGGCTTAATTTAACTTGACCGGAAGCTTATTCGAAAGTCCAGTCGGCAAATAAAGAGATGAAGATGTCCCTGACCCCATTGAATGGGCCAAGTTTGATGGAGGCAAACCAATAGTCGATTAAGACCGGGGCTAGATCCTATAAGGTTGAAAATTGGAGAAGCGCTCCATCATGAAGTTCTCCCGCTAGCACCAAATGGAGTAGTAAATGCGACGGCTAAATGCCAGGATCATGGTGGTATTATTTTACGTTGGCAGGCGAGGGCACTGACCCCCGTCCGAGGTCTCCCCGGGGGCATGCGGACGTGCTAAATTACTAAGGACTACTTAACTAGATACAGTTAAAGCGCTTTCGATAGGAGACCAAGCAAAAATTCCTGGCCCCTTTGGACGTCACTGCGACCTATGAGTGATGCTCACCATACAAAAGCTCCAGGAAAAGACGCCAGATGACGGTTTTAATATAACGGGGTAAAAACCTCCAGGCTAAGTCCCAGGGTCCCTCACAGTAAACAATATCCAGTAACCACCCCGATTGGATCTAAACCCAGCTGTAGCAATCTAGTATTGCGATCATTATAGCACACTTGATGCTCTTTTGCTCTACGAGGATACTGGGGCTGTTGGGGCCGCAGAAGTAGAAGGGGGTTTGGAAGAAGATTCATCTTGTGTTGAGGTGGTTTAAATAGTGCTTGCCTACTCTCTAAGCTACTAAACCTGAAACTTGAGAACGAGCTGGATTGAAATAGCAAGCCTGATACTTAGGGCTTTAGGGTTGCTGCTACTCAAACTGTTCTTATGTCCTTCCCCTGCACGTCAAACAAACCACCATAAAGCATCTGCTGATTATAAAAAGCTAACGAGGGATTATCCTGCAGACCAAGATTCTGCCTCGCAGCTTATTCTATCCACAGAAACTCTATTTGACTATTTGACGTGGCGTTGGCGGTTGCAGCTCAGCCTCAACTTTGCGGGGCTTGGTGTGGGGGCTCAGCATGATTCAACCAACATCATCTTTCCTGATCTGCCTTGTGAAGAAAGCTTTCTTTGGGAATCACTAGTATTTAAACCAAATGATTATTCTTTGTCCCTCAGGGGATGCGGATTGTGGATGGTTTCTATTTCAACCGGATCCTGAACCTTTTACTTCACTGCCCTGTCTCGATATCCCAGAATAGTTCCAATCGAAAGCCCCTATTCCCACAAAATGTGGGAAGTCATCGCACAACTTGCTATCGGAGTCATCAAAATATTTTTTCCTCAGGACCCTCATCCAGGAGGCGTGACGAAGCCACAACCAGACAAACCGAAGCGAAAGTGGCCCTGGAAAAATAAGTCCTGACGGCAACTTGAAACTTGAACCCGATCAGCACTGGCATTACTTACTATGCTAGACCCTGTGGCGGCAATCGTAGTTTCTGGACAGAATGAGTATGTTTTCATAGTATCACTCCAGAACTGCGCCAGAAAGGCTGACCCATGCGCCAGGTTTATTACTTTTCGACCTAGTTTCTACATCGGCAGAACATCCGTCCAGAAAGAAAGAAATAGCATGTATAATTCATCAGGGTATCACAAGATAAAGCAAAATGTATAAGCAAAGAAATATATCAATAGATGGCACAAATATCAAGAAGGAACACCTTCGTATTCCCATCCTTCAATAACACGCTTCCGCCGACGCGAGTTACGACGGTTCGCATTGCATTTGATAAACGTCGTCAACGCGGTAATCAGCAGGATGATGATGGCAGCAACAACGGCAACGAGCACCGCCTTGTGCTCCAGCTGCTGCGGATTAGACGCGTAGGGGCAGGTAGCGTCGGGACCACCAGAGACCCAACAGGAGGTAGTATCAATTGAGTTGAAATTGACGTAGACTTCGCGGCGAGATAGATTGGTTGAGGTAGGGTCGATGAGGGATGTATCTTGGTCAATGAGATATTCATAAAGGTAATGATTTTCAAGACCAGTGCGAGGGACGGCAAACGAAGAGCCGGCGGGACAACCGTTGCCAACTTCGCGGTATTCCGCAGTGTAACTCGACAAAGTCCAGGAGAATGGTGAATTTCCAACTCGGCATGCGGCTCGACGTTCCTCACTGCAGTTAGTGGCGCGCCAGCGCCCGCCGAGCGATAGGTCTGTGATTGCGCATCGATCAAATGCAGGCATGTCATTTGTACCGCCGCCGGTGTCGGCACCTTCAGGCTCGCCGACTGCCCAGGCCCACCCCGTTGCAAGGGAGACGTTGCGGTAGCTAGAGACGTCTGCATCGGCAGTTTCGCCAAAGAGGGTTGTGTTTAGCATGGGTGACATGCCGCAGGCTGTGATGTCGGATATGAGGTCATCCAATGATACCAGGGTGCTGTCAGCGGAAAGTCCTGCAGGCACGGGGATGCTGCTAGATATGGCCCACGATGAGTTGGCTTGGGACACATCTGTTGCCTTGGGTTTGTAGAGGCAGCCAGATTTCAAAGTACCATTTGCGGTAGCAGACACCTTGACTGCCGAGGTCATATAGCCCGGAGAAAAGATAGCATCCGCATCTTTGGCCAAGTCGAGGTCGGCTAGTTGCGGATCTATCGAACCGTATTCAATAATAACACGATCTGATTTTGCAAGTTGGATGTACTTTGCTGACGGCCATCCATCCGGGGTGCTTTGATGACCCGATTCGTCCTCGTGGATGGTAAAATATTCCGTGATCGGCATGTAGCTTTCGTCAACTTCATACCATGACTCGTTTAGGTTCTTTCGATCCTCAGCCAGTTGTGCTGGGCTATAGATATACTCGTAGAGGTTCCAATTGAATAGCGCGCCGGCCCGTTCCGAATCCGATTTGGGTAGGTCGCGTCCCTTCACGGCGGCAGGTGGCTTTGTCGGGGAGGAATCACTGGCCGCAACATGGAGATTCAAGACGAGATGATTAGTATAGACCAGTAAATTCCGTTTTGTGTCTTGAAAATATCCGACTAGTATATCTGATATCATGCTAATATCCAAATCGTCGGTGCATCTGTACGGGCCCAATTCATACACTGTCTCTCCATCGGGATCGGAATAGGCGGTGATGGTCGCTGACTCTGCGTCCGTGGTCGAGGAGGCCAGATCACTTGTTGTAATTGTAGATGTTGCCTCGGGGCCCTCGGTGGTCGAGGTCACCTCTACTTCTGAAACAAAGACGTCTGCGCTAGCGGGGATGGCGACGGGACAAAAGGACCATGACCGGCGTTCCACGGACCAGTACAAATCGAGGGCGAGCCGGCGGAAACCAACGGCGAGAAGATTGGAGATGCAATCAACTGCTTTATCTCGAGAGTAAAGGCCATTGCCAAAACATGCGGAGGATAAGGATACGGCTGGGTTCGTTACGAAGTTGATAGGGATTTGGCCGGCGACATCTCGTTCACTCTGCACCAGTCAATTCACGTTCAAATTGAGCTTAAAAGTAATGGGAAGAACTTACCAGTAAGACTGCCACCCAAGTCGCATCGTCAAGGGTGGCATCTGGGTTGTAGGCAGACGACATAGTCTCGCATGTCGTCAGATGCAGTCGCAGGTAGCAGTTGCAGTGGGGAAGAGAAGCGCGCGGTGCGGCACTCGCGGCTTGCGCCGCGCGTGGGCGATCACCTGAGTCGATCTGGCCACTTCGTTACGAGTACATCACTTCTTCCCTTTCTTCCCTACCCTTCCATCTCACCCTTCCCCCACCACCGACCACTCTTCCAACTCTCACTTACTTCTTTCTTTCACTTCTTTGTTCTCCAATTCCAGTCCTCGATCCAATTCGCTACCAAAAATGGCCGCGCCCGGCCAGCCAAACCCCCAGCAAATGGCGGCCATGCAGCAACAGTTTGCTGCCGAAGCCGCCAAACGAGGGATGACCCCCGAGCAATTCGCCCAGAAGCAACGCGAACAACTCACAGCCGACGCAGCGAAGCTCGGTCTATCTCCCGAACAATACGTCCAACAGTTGCGGATGCGGGCAATGCAGGCGCATCAGAAGCAGATGGAAGCACAGCAACAAGGCCAAGCTTCTCCACAGGGAGAGGGGCAACAACAACAACAACAACAACAGCAGCAGCAGGAAGGCCAGCAGAACCAACAGGGACAAGCATCTGCACCTCAGCAACAAGTTCAACAGCAGACACACCAAGTCCCCGTTCAGCCCGGCCAGCCTGCCGACCCTAAGGCCCTAGCCGTGGCCAACTTTCTGCGGTCGCAGAACTTGAAGCCGCGCACATGTATCTTGGATGGACAGCGCAAGGATATGTTTAAGGGTATGTTGCAAAAAGAGAAAGCGAAACAAAAAAGAAAACCCCCATCGGTGGAAACCATCAAGTGAATGATATATACTTACATTCACCTCCTATCACAGTCAAGCGTGCAATCCGCGCCATCGAATCCCCCGCATACGCCAAAGCTGCCGGAAAGAAGAACTCCCTCCTCCCACCCGTGACCGACCGCGCCTCGGCCGAGAACGTCTTCAAGCTCCTCCCACTTTCTCTTCTCGCCCTCCGTGTAAGCAAAGTCGACCCGCACGCAGGCCACAACCACGCCAAGCCCAAGAACCGCACAAAGGGCCTGTGGACCGTGAAGATCGAGCAACACCAGGAAACAGAACCGTTGATGCACTACGTCTGGCTCTATGAGGGACCTCAGTGGAAGCAGCGCGCTCTCGCCGCCGCCGTGGTGGTTGGTATTTTTGCAGTGGTGTTGTTCCCGCTGTGGCCAATGTTCATGCGGCAGGGTGTGTGGTATCTCAGTGTGGGCATGATGGGATTACTGGGACTCTTCTTTGCCATGTCTATCTTCCGTCTCATCTTGTTCTGCATTACTGTCTTCACCGTCCCGCCTGGTCTCTGGCTCTTCCCGAATTTGTTCGAGGATGTCGGCTTTTTCGATAGCTTCAAGCCCCTGTGGGGCTGGCAGGAGGTATGTATCCCCCACTTTTCACTTACGCCAATGGCATATGACTATAATTGGGAGGTACCCTACTAACACCGTCACCAGAACAAGAAGAAAAAGAGCAAGAAGGCAAAGTCAGAGGACGCCCAAGGAGTGGAACCTACCTCCTCAGCCAAGAGCACATCCGCCGAGCCGGCAACTTCATTGACGCCCGTGAAGCGAGATCTTACCGCGCGCGTTGAGGAGGCAGAGGAGTAAACTCTCGAAAGAGTTAGGACGGAAATGCAAAGAACCGGCAAGCTAACAGGGATATTTTTCGAGAGGGCGAAATTTGTCTTATCTTATTTTTCTTCCCTTTTTCCATATTCACATTCACATTCACATTCACATTCAATCACGGCATGGTCATGGCATGGCTTGCGGTGTATTCTTCATGAGGGTGGTTCCGGCGTTTTTAAGATCAACATAGTACCTTCTTCTCTCTTTTGCTTTGCACTTTGATCATAGTTGGTATCGGTAAAAATGGGAATTTTCTCCTTTTGCGGGAGTACCTACATGCGAAACCAGATGTTCCATCCTATTGACTGGAGAAGTTGAATATTCCAAGGTTGAAGAAGCACCAATCGTTTACTGGGAGACTTAGGTTGCTAGTACTAGTAGTATGTATGAAAACCAATGAGTATAGAGGGAAAACCCGAAGAGATGGATCACTTTTTAATCTACTAGTACGAGGTACCGGCCCTAGGTAGGAAGATGGTTATATGTATTCACAGCAATTCAACCCTGACCGTCACTCGTCCCAAGAAAATATGTGACAACAGAAAAAGAGAAAGGAGACAAATAGTACATTCCAACACGCATTTTTCATCTTTAATTTATTTGACAGACCCAGCAAGGGAAAAGAAATCGGGGTATAAATAAGACAAGTATGAAGCGAAGCAAACCAGATCAGAGCAGAGTAGAGTAGAGTACATCCGACATTAGAAATGAATGGGTTTTGATTTGACCCGTAAACTCGACTAGACTCGAACAAAGAAATCCCAAGGTATAGACAGGACAAGACAAGAGGGTATCGTCATGTGCATGTGAAGACAAATAGATCAATATGAATCAAGAATGAAAGGATATAGATCCAAGCGAGGGTGCGGCGTAGTAAATGGGTGGATGAATTGTAGTTGGTGATAATGATAATTGGGCCATAGCCATGGCGTATATGCATGCGAGGACTTGCTCGGGTATATTTGACTTGCGACGCTGAATGCATAGACGCAATAACACAAGGCAGGACAATAATAAAGGTGTATGTATGTATAGTTGAGTTGAAAGGCGCGTCTCATCTCGGTTGGCGTATATGTATGTAGTTAAGATGGCGGCGATTATGATTATATTTTGAGTGCAAGGTAACTTTTGACTCCACGGGCTGAGGTGAAGGAAGGTTTAGATCTGGCGAGAGCTTCGCAGTGCAGCTGCAGGTGCATTGCAGCGCAGTGCAGTGCGCAGGACTAATGCAGGCGAGACTGTCGAGCAGCTGATACCTTAGGAGCATATCCATTTGATTGACCGGCAAGAACACTTCTCCGTTTATCCGCGACGTTATCCTGGATATGCTGTGATTGATAGAACCGGGTGGACGGTGACAACTTCGGTGCTGATGAAGCTGGAGGTGACATTGGTGGAATTGGAGGTAGAGCAGCAACCGGAGGAGGAGCTGGAGGCGATTTCGTGGCAAGCGGAGGGAGTTTTGGCAGAGGACAGTTGGGCGGTGGTGCAGCAGGTGGACCAACAGCCAAGCCAGGCATACTTCTTCGCCGGGACATACTCTGCGCCAAATGGGTGTCCACGTGTTGTGTTGGAGTTCGGTGGCGTGGGGTTGGTACTGGAATTGGCGTTGGGTTTGACTGCGGTTGTGGGAATAGTGATAATTCCGGCTTTCTGGATGGCTCGACCGCAGGGACGACCGGGGCTTGCGATTCGCCATTCATCGAGATTCCTAGCCCAGGTCGACCAACCAGACTGAGAGGACGAGATGGCGGGGGGCTGATCTCAGAGGGTGCACCGGCTCGAGGAACGCGGGAGAAATTAGGTGCAGGTTGAGTCCGGACCATTCTTGATAGAATATCTTCCGAATTATAAGTCCGCAGAACACGACCGCTGCCATCTCGGGGCAGAGGGACAGGCTCGGAGGCATCTGTATGGCGCGAGCTTGCGACGCTATAAGTCGGTGATTGGGGAGGGGAGGAGACGCTGGCGATAGTGAAGTCACTTGTACTTGTGCTCTGGCCTCGTCGAAGAGCACCCGCCACGGATGGCGGCGAGGAAGGCTGGTTGATAGAGCCCGGTCCTGGTCTCGGTACGAACTTTTTGCTGAAGGACGGAACGCTGAAATTCGGAGCTGGTGGGGAGGCGCTGCGCGTCAATGTCTCGGGTATATCGGTCGAGGGTTGGGCGACAGGAATAGGGTCCGTACGAGAAGTCGAAGTCGAAGTCGAGGCTGAGGCCGAGCCTGTGGGGCCGGGCGATGAAAGAGGCGACATATGTAGCGACTGACGATTACCTTGACTGGAGGCAGGCGGGCTCATACCACTGAGACCACTGAGGCCAATCATCTGATCCACCTCCCTGAGTACAGCCTCCGGCAAGCCATACGGGGTGGACGGCTCACTTGGTAGATTGTTGGGGGAGGCCGGTGTATTTGAAGACGAAAAAGACGAAGATGGCGCATCGTTATTCATTGCAGGTGAAGCCTCCGTCCAACCGGTGGACGTAGATCCCGCACGAGAGTCGATAACTGAGCGACGATTGTCCGAGACGTAGGAGCTTCGTCGAGATTGCCAGGTCATGCCACCAACAGACTGGCCATCTTCGTCGTCGTCAGGCAGACGTAGAGTCTGTGGCTGGAGGAATAAGCTCGAGATACGATGCGGGTCTTTCTTCACCATCTGCCGCACGCTTGCTTTCGAGCGAAGCTGTGGCTCCACCTCATCCTCTGAATGCTTCTCCGTCACAAACTTGGGACCACCGCGAGCTTCTACCTCAGCGCGAATGGCTATCAACCAAGAGATCATCGAGTCCGGGTCATCAAAGACCATCAGGAAACTCTGCGCTAATCTTCGCGCATGGGATCGATGGAACCCAAATCGCGAGGTGAGGCGAGACTTAGGAGGTTCCGGTACAGCAATGGCATCAGCAGCTGGATTTTGAGAAATTTGAACCACCCAGTGTTTTCCGGGGATTGCATCGCTAGCGAATGCCACGGATTGGGGGCCCAATTGAAGCATTTTCTCGGGTAATCGATCATGTTTCCCATCCCCGGCGTATTGGAGAATAAATCCCGCTGTCGCGAGTACATAGATCTTCTTAGTCCATTCGACCTTGTTAATCGTACCCGACAGAGTGCGCAAGTGTTTGCGCTCTCGTTGTTCCTTCTTTTTCGAATCACCACTTGATGTCGCCGTCCGCCCATCCTCCGCAGCATTTTTCCCTGATGTCGCGTGCAATCGCAAAATAGAGTCCGCCGACATGGCGGGCGCGGAGAGACAATCATGCTTGGTTGATTGAGGGTATGCCTGAAACAAGGCTGGGGGTTTCCAACCGTATTGTTCTTGGGAGTTTTTGGGCTCGGGGGGTCGTGGTCGAGATGATTTCAGTGTATTTCGCGCACGAGGGGTCGTCGGGGAGGCAAGCGTGTTCGAGGTTGTGGTCGAGACGATCGTGTGTGGGGTTGCGATGGTCGGCGACCAGATTGTCTCATCTATTGTGACAGTCTGCGAGGTGATATCTGACGGGCTTGCTTGGGATTCATCGACCTCGTCGAGGGTGGTGCTTTCGGGGGCGACCGCCGCACGCGAGCTTTTGTCGCGGCCGAAGAGATTGCGCAGGCTTGACTTGGACGATTGGCGCTTGACGGGACTCTGGAGTGGAATTGGTCCATCTGAGCCATTGGTGACGGGGTCGGTAGGTCGAGGACGCTGGAGTCGCGCGGACTGAATGGGCTGTGCGGGCTGTGCGGGCTGTTGTTGATGCAATTGCGACTGCGATTGAGATTGCGACTGATCATCTTGAGTCGTAGCGGGGCGACTAAAATTGGTCTGAAGTGGCGCCAGACGATGTCCTCTACGTTCGCCAAAGGATGGCTGCGTTGAGTCTCGTAAGGAGGACATGGTCTTGGTCGTTCAGCACAACATGACACAGCAGATGCAGGAAAAGGAGAGCCGATTTCAGGAGGGAAAAGATCGTCACATCCGAACGTGGTCGGCTGCACGGCCGAGTAGGCTGGAAACTGGAGACTGGAGACTGGAGACTGGAGACTGGAGACTGGAGACTGGAGATTGGAGATTGGAGATCGATCGGAGACGGCAACTTGGGAAATAGAGGGGGGAGTTTCAGAAAGATTCAACGTGGAGAGGAAGTGGAAAGGAAAGCAAGTTCAAAGTTCAGGAGAAGGGAAGAAGAAGTGGGGGGGATCTACAATCACCACGAGTACCAGTGATGTGGGAGGTGGAGGTGCATAAAATTGAGCCTGGCCTAGCTGGGCTTGGTCTTTCCCCCTGGAAATCTCTCATTCGTTTCACTACGTCTCATCTCATCACTTTCCTCCCCAATTTCCCCCATCTCCACTGGGCGCTCGCTAATATTCCTGGTGGAGAGAGCGGAACGTTGAAAGCTCCACAGGATCGAGAGGTCTCTGGACTAGTACTAGTACTCCTCCGTGCACTGCACTGTCTGGACCTGCTCTGAAGTATCGTGTTGCCTCGTTAGGCAGATGGCCCACACTTCAATCCTTGCCCAGAATCGACTGCACCCATCAGACTGGCTCCATGGTCGCAATGCCGGGCCATCGTGATATCCTTGTGGGTGAGGCCGCGTGGGTGATGCGTGGTCCAGTGGATATCAACGGAACCGAAGCGCTGTAGTAAGGAGTCAACAAATTAGTTTCGAGTTCAACTTCAAGTTTCTGCCATTCTTTGTTGGCAGCGGGTACTAGCACACTAGCAGCACTTACCACGGTCATGGTGGGGTGGTGTTTCTTGGATGAACTCTCGGACGCGACCAGGTTAACAAAGGTCTATCGAAGAATTAGCAATTCGGAATTCGACAGGTCAAATTGGAAGAGAGAGGGAGAAAGGGAGAGCAGCCTTGGGCCTGCAGGAGTACGGAGTACGGAGGATCTCCGTATGCACATACCACAGCCTTGAAATAGCTCTTAAAGTGGAAGGTCTTGGTCACACCCATCCCGTTACCATCCAGCGCCCAGCCTTGCTGCAGCAGCAGCTCGGTGTCAGGGCCGAGCTGTTGCGGGTCTTCGCCCTCGGCGAAGCGTGCTGCGGGTGCGCTGGAAGCCATTCGGAGAGGTTGAGAGCGAGGTAGAGAAAGGGACAGGGGTGGTCGAGCAGAGGCAACTCGAATGACAGAAGGTGAGAAACGTGACGACAGAGGCAAAGGCAAAGGCAAAGGCAAAGACCGGCCTAGTCTTAGGAAGCTCATGGTTGGGTGAAATAGACGAGAATCTTTGGGAGCTTTGGAGCTTGGAAGCTTTGGAAGCCTCTCGGGTGCACGCGTTGGCGCACAGACCAGGCAGCACTTAAGCAGCACTACAGTAGTCTACCCAGGTATACACAGTAACAACGATATTTGCAGAGTATCTAGTATCTAGTTGAGTACTAGAACCATTATTAATAGTTCATACTGGTATTGTTTAATTGCCAATTGAAGCAGCCATCTGGGCATAGTGGGTGCATTGGATGTACTAGTATACTTCCGAGGCACCTTAATCAAAACATTTAGTAACATGGAAATTCAAATGGTAATGAGGTGGAGCCTGAGGAAATAGGTTCCGAGTTTTACCTTTCAGCACTAGAATCCCCCAGAGTAGTAATTTATTATCATTGCTATCCATGGATGATCCACCACACGCCACTCGCCCAACGGTTACACCCTGCAGTCTCTGGCAGAAGTACTATTATGCCTAGATTGAGGGGCACGAACTAGTTACTACAAATGGGCAACCTTGGAAACCATTGATCTCGGTACTCACAACTTGAAGAAACGCTGTGGCGTTCTTACTATGTTAGGGAGGACCCTGATCGACGGAAGCGGACAACCGTGGATAGTCTCCAGAATGCTACTCTACCATCCACAGTCCCACGGTTATAGTACTATAGTACTACCTACAAGACAACAACAAGGCTCGGAGACACAAGATACACGAGATACACATTCATTGCTTATAGTTAGAGCATATAATTCGTAACCAGCCCCTTCCGGCACCTCAAGCAAAAGCAATCAACCCCGTGAGGCGTACAAGTGCCGTCCCATCAATCCATCCATCCATTCCCGGATGGGTTGAGCTTGGGCGAGAAGACGATCCATCAAGTCTGACAGTCACAGTGAAACCATGCGCCCCGAAAGCAAGCAGAGAAGACAAAAGTGGAGAAAAAGTAATAATAATTAAGAGTCGAGTCCACCACGCCCAGCGCATGGATCCATGCGATTCAAGACATACAGAGAGAAAAGAAGATACAAAATTACCGGTAAATCCTCACTGGCATCCAAAAAATTGAATGCTTAATCGATCATCGTCCCGCCATAGCCATCAGCTCGCCGCCGTGGAACTTGACTGGATCTTTTTCACAAGATTTCAAGCGACGGCGGAAAGCGGAAGCGGGGGGGAAAGGCAGCTGAGAATAAAACTCAAAAAGACGAAAAATCAAATCAAATCAAATCAATCAGGCTACCAAACTGTTGCGGCGCGAGTTGGCACGCGAGTTCACTCGGGAGTTGGCTCGAGAGTTGACCCGCGAACCAGGGCGACTTCCCCGGATGCGGAGATCTTGTTGGGACCGTGCGTAGGAGTTGGCGCGGGAGGCCTCGGGGACCTTGGATGCCCGGCGGCTGTGGATGTTCACGTCGATTTCGTGACGGGCTTCCGAAAGGCGTTGCGCGAAGGGCGAGCGCGCGCGGAGGGCGGGGCCCTTCCAGTAGATGATATAAACAGCAACAACCAGCGGCACCGAGATACAGACTGGGAATCGGTTAGTTGGAGTCTCTGAAAAAGGTCCCCCGAGGGATAATAGAACACATACAGAGAATAGTCGAGGCATACTCGAGATGATACTTGCCACCAATGTCTAAAAGAAATGGAGTTAGCCTATGTTTCAGACGAGTGTAATGGGGTAGGGGTCTTACTCTCGAAGAACGGTGTCGCCGGGATGGTGAGAACACCAGCCAGGAAGTCTCGAGCCCATCCATTACCACCAGTAGCCGAAGCCGAGTAAGGGCCATAAGCACAAATCATATAATCAATAGTGGCCATGTAGATAGCGTAGTTGGCAATACCAATGACCGCAGCGAAGATCATGGAACCAATCCAGTGGCACTGGGGCAAAATGGTCCAGGCGAAACCAATCAGGCCAATCGGCAGGCAAGGAGCGGTATACAACAACCACCAGAGGCGAGACTCATACTGTGCGCGCTCACTGTCAGGATTTTCGCGGCGCTCAGCAGTGTTGCGACGGATGATGGGGAACCAAGAGAACCAAGCAATGAGGTAGCCGATGAGGATGGGGATGAAGGCCAGTCCCTTCTCCCAGGGAGTGAAGTTCCACTGGTCATAGACGAGACCCAGAGACTGAATGAACATGAAAATCAGAGCATCACTGAAACCACTGAGGAGGGAAAGAACCAAGACAATGGGCTCAGTAAGGAACATCTTGAACGGGCGATACCAGGTCATCATCAATTCACCAGGAGGGAATCGTTCGCGGAAGGACATGCCCTCGGTTGGGCCGTAGATGTTGGGGTTCTCGCCGCTCTCGCGCATCTTCTTTGCGATACGGTCCATGAGAACGGTGGTTCGGGTCTCGGGGACGAGGAAAAAGTGCATAACCTGCACAAAACCACCAAAGATCAACTGAATCCAGATATTCCATCGCCAGGGCAAGTAGGCCTCGACGAAGCCACCAATGACGGGTCCGAGGACCGAACCACCGACGGAGGAGAAAACGACAGCGGCCACGGCGTACTGTTGAGTATCGGCTTCCCAAAGATCGGCAATCATACCCAAAGTGACGGAACCACCAGCAGAGGAGAGACCACCAAGCGCACGGCCCACCATGATTGAGGCAAAGTTCGGGGCCAGAGCGACTGGAAGCTGGAAGACATTGACGAAGAAAAGCGAAGCCTGCAAGATGGGCTTACGACCCAGTTCCTCACTCCAGGGGGCCCAGAGTTCGCAACCAAAGGCATATAGGACGAGGAAGATCATGGCACCGCAGCGGGCGGCCTGCATGGAGACGCCAAACTCCTCGGAGATACCGGCGAGACCATTGGAGTACAGAGAGGTGTTGAAGTTCATGGAGACCTGGACCATGAAAATGACGGAGATGATCAACCACTTGCGAGTCTCGGTATAGGAGTAACCGAGTTTATCGTAACACATATCCTCGGTGAGTATGATGCGGCCATCGGGACCGGCATGTTCGAGTTGATCGTCCTTATCGGAGCCCTTTTCATTGAAAGGTAGGTTGAGAATACCCTCTTGTTGGGTTTCACTAGATGAGGAGGAGGCTTGTTGCACCGCATCCAGCCGGCCAGCCAGCTTTTCAGGGTGGCTTGCCATGGTGAAGTAGCTGAGTTGAGTTAGTATTTGGATGGTGAGAGTGAGTAGTGACAATGAGTATTGTCAAACTCTTTTGGGAAGAGAGGAAGAGAGAGGAAGGAGCATACAAAGTAGAGAGTCCAGAGAGAAGAGAAAAGGAAAAAGGTGGGGGAAGGGAGAGGAAGAGGAAGAGGAAGAGGAAGAGGAGAGGTCAAGTTTTCCGGAAGAGTCAAACGAGTAAAAAAGGGCGAAGTTGAGGGAGTCGCCGACAATAAATACGGCAGGTGCGATGCAACGGAGCCGGACTGAGCGTAGTTCCTTCCCTGGTTCACTCTATACCTTACTACTCCGTACTAGCATAGTATTACATACTACTCTCTCTCTCTCTACTTTCCCTATTCTGTATTTTGTATTCTCTACTCTCTACACCTCCCTCCTACATCTCCCGTCTCTCGGCTCCCTCGCCCCAGATTTCTCCAGATCCCCTCCGCTCGCCGTTGACTTTCCCTATGCGTCACCGAGTGGGTGCGGGATGCCGAATCCTTTTCCCCGTGGGTTGATTTCTACCCACTTTTTTTTTCTTCAATCTGCCCCAGAATTCAGGGCCCCAAATCCTTCATTCATTGCCCTCAACAATATCCCCGGACTGATATTACTATTTACAAAAATCGCGCAGATCGCCTATATACTTCCTACAGAGTCCGGCCTTGAGCTCTGACGCCCATACAATTTGCCTCCTGCCGACGCGCCCTGGAAAGGATTGCCCTTCCCTCAACCCGCAATTGGAGAATCGGCTCCACCGAAAGCATGGCAAACTTATGACCGATGGCCGACCCCGTCCAAACCTGTGGTCAATCGCTGGTCAACGAATTGCGCGACCGGCAACACTCCGATGGGATCCGCTTTGGGTTGGAGAATGTCCGCTTTGGGAACAACCAGCCCGACAGTCACCGCATCCTGCCCTCCTACTTCAAAATCATCCCATACGCATGCAACCTTACATCTACACAATCCCAATCGATTGGGAGAATGCCATCTCATAAAATTATATGGGATGCGGTGCCCCGCGAAGCAAGGGGGGGTTCAAGATGCTACTATTTCCAGTCGTGCCCGGACCGCATGGTTCCCCATCGCCGATCTGGGCCCAGCAACACTGAGATGACGCGGAGCGACCGAGTACATACACACTACTCCGTACTAATAAATTCTACATAATGTTTGCCGACACTTCTCTGGTACAGTAAAGTCCACCCCGGACACTCGGCCAAGACACGCGATCATCGTCATCATCAAGCACAGAAAAAAAAAATCAACTTTGACGTCAGGGGGCGCCCTGACACCTATCACAGGCGGCCCACGGATCGAAGCCTGGACCAGGTACTAAGGGCGCCAGCAGGTACTAAACCAAGCCGCCACGGGCGGTTACGGACGTGGCGTCGTGGGGATCGCCAACAGGGCCAAGGCTTGCAAGTCTTGTTCTGACTGCCTGTTCACCTGGAAGGAAGGTCGGGGTCCGCTTACCCCCTTGGATAAACACTGGATATTGTATCAGATCCACCTGTCTCATCACTACGAACTGCCTCTTCCAGAACATCCGATAGAAGACTGCTGTCAACGTTAACAAAAGAGAATGGAAATGACCGATCGCCCCCTTGCTGAGGCAAATCCCCCTTCCATTCGGACCTTTGGTTCATGCGGGTTGCCTTCAAGTTACCAAGGATTTCTTGCCCTTGGACGTGACCGTTTTGGACCCCAAATAAATAAACCTGGAATTTCTTCAGCCCCGTGACCGCGACGACCTCATCGAGAAAGAAAAGAAAAAAAGACAAATAGAAAAACAAGGCTGTCCGAAAAAAGTTTTGCACTCATTAAAGTTTGGACCACCGACTTGACTCGCCGAAGGTGGAGCGAATCCGGAAACGACCACAGGTAAGCCAGCCCAGGTCACGGTGCGGATCCTTAAGTGTGTGTTCCCCCTTGACTCCCGGCGCTGGAATGGGCAAGTCGAGATGCGACCTTACATTCCTGCACATGGGCAGCTCATATGGGAGATCGACAAGATCGTACATCGCCGCGACGCCACGCGAGCCTTTCGCGGTGATCAGTGCCGATGGCCGTAGGGCAATTAAGCCAAAGCATGGTACGGTGTGGTCTGCAGTCAAATGCGTCTTCCCCCGGATTGTTCTGGACCCTGGGGTTGTCCAACCCGGATATGCCGGATCCAGATTTTTCGACTTGCTTTGCGCTGTACGATGGCCGAACTGCCGGGGATGGATGGGGACATCGTAGAGTAGGTGCACATTAGTCAGTACAACGTACTCGTTACACTCGGACCTGGAGAGGGGGCGACTGATTGTCCTTGGTTCGACTACATCTGGTCTGGGGATCTCCATGGGCCTGTGTTATCCCCGCAGGGCGCGAAGGATCGTGACCGTTGTACTTGTACATGAATAGGGTTTATTTCAGCTGATGTGAGATGACGGAATATGATACCTTGTGCATAGTACTAGTAAATTATCCTGCTTTCTATTCATACCCAGTGGCGAAAATGGTAGTTGTACATATGTCATGTTGATGCCTGGGTGCCTCAGAGATCTTTTGGCCTTACAGATCAGGCGCAAACCCCAAGTTGTTTAGTTAACTAACAATTCATTTTAGCTAACCTTACACTAACTACCCTCGACATCTCTCAATGTGAAATTTAACGTCGTTTTGATTCTATATTTCTATGAATCTGATTCTTTTTGAATAGGTCCGCAGCCAGCTACGTCCAATACACACTTGACCTAGTGGCTCGATTTGAACACTGGCACCATCCTTTATAGACTGCGATCGCTTGTCCAAACACTTCCATTATGGTTGTGCTTCGCATTGAGATATGTTGAATATGAAGCGCTCAAATATAGGAGTTCGCATACAATGTGGTCAAATGAGATCGTTTTGGGAATCTGCCGGCGCGCAGCCCTCGGCCAGCCTAGTAGATAGAACCTCGCCAAGGCCACCGTCGATACCAGAAGAAAGTACCAATGTGACTTCAGACGGAGGAGAAGAGCAAGAGTAGTCAGGATCGCCAAAAGAGGGCCCTGCCTTTCAATATTGAAGATTGAAAAGAGGGAGGAGTTCAGAGGGAGGTGGGATGAGGAAGTAGATGAAGCAGAAGTGGAGTTCAGGATGATGAATGATTGATTGCCGAAACAAAGACAACTCCACTTCTATAAACTCAAACGGAGGTGCCGATGATGACCGAAGATGATTTACATTTAGAGTACTACATACGGATTACGGAGGTTCATAATTATGAGCCACATACTATATCAGGTTAGTATTAAATGCCAGGATTGGATGTGGAGACATACCTGGACTTACGAAGATGTCAGTTACGCAGGGATTCTCTAGTTCATTGGCTGCATCGTTATTGTATTCTTCAGCCCCTCCTTTTAGAATTTCTAATTCCAAATATAAATACCGAAAACTGGGGTTCCGCTGGATGTATTTGATATCTATGATTATGATCTAAAAAGCATAATTGCAAGAGTCAAGCTCACATCTCGTTGATGAGAGCCTGAGTCGTAAGTGGAGGTCAGGGTAGATCATTGCAAGCTTACCCTTCTTAAGTGAAAGGGGTTGGGACCTCATGTCAGGTGGTCTCCAATTACATTTGCCATGGTCCTTTGGGGGCTGAAATTCCCGTGAGCTTGATGCCTTCATCAGTAGTGATTAAATTAATATAATTTGAAGCCAAGACAAGCTGATTCCGTGAAGATCGTTGCGACCCCAACCGTGCTGCCCTTGTCTTGATTGTCCGAAAATGCCTCATGTTGATAGTGAAGCAACGTACAATGCGGCGTCGCCGGGCGCTGTTTTGGAATTTCATGCCATGACAAAGTCTATATTCGCCAAGAATAACATGCCGTCCCTTGGCGTGGCCATCGCTCTATGAACAGTTAGACTGATAATTGATATACAAGCTATAAGTACTCGGCTTCAAGCAGCTCATGGTGACACCCTGTTGCAAGTACTATTCACAATAACGCAAGACTCAAGAAAGACAATTCCATTTCTGAACCTATCTTCAATATACCCATATTTTCTCTGTGCTATTCGGAACCTACCATCACGCAAAAATGTATCGCATACTTCAAGCTTCCGCAGCCCTACTCGCTACTCTCCCATCCGTTATCGCAGGTACTTGCTATGCTGTCGGTTATGTCAACACGAACACAGCAGGTGGCGGAATAGGCGGCGGCGCCGTCTCAACCGTCATGGGAATCCAACTCTATGACCCGGACAACCGACAAATTGCATGGTGGCAGCCGCGCCTCAACTCCGACGACCCCAGCGTCTGTGGAGATTTCGTCGCTGTTGAAACGGGCAACCTAACTCAGGTTTTTGAATGGGGTGCCACTTGTGCGCCTGGTTTCACGTATGACTCGCCTCATGATCTCATCTTCACTTTTGTTTTATTCCCCTCCTTCGTGAACGCTCACTAACACTTTGATTCCATTTAGTGAGTGCCACGGTGCCTATGGGGACCAAACTCATATCGACGGCGAGTCTCCTCAGGGGTCTACTGACTATTATGGTCTTGGAGTCTCGGCTGATTCGGAATGCCGAGTCAACTTTGAATGCTAGGTATCTTGGTTCAAGATGTTATGATTGGGCGTAGTGGGATTTGTGGTTGGAAATGGCATGGATATTAGCTGCACTAGTGTCCTGACTTTGCTCTACCACCATAGTCCGAAGGCAATTCAAACCAACTGGCTATAAAATAGTTCCACCTATGGCGATGAAGATTTTCAGTATGAGGTAATACATTACCATAAGTGAGCTAATACTTGCATTCCAAAGTGACATATTTGAAAAGAAAAGGAGCAAGTAGGGGGACTTAGAAACATACACCGACTTTCCCACTTTCCCTTATTTATTATAACCTCTATAGGATCCTAGTCACTATCATCATCCTCGACGGAATATACTATCATATCAGCAATCTGAGTAGAACACAGCAAACAATCGCAATCAGCAACAAGACTATTCATGCGATTCCAAGTCTCAACGCCCCCATTCATCCGCAGCAGCGGAACATACCCATCTGAACTAGAGACAGCCGGACGATCAAAGAGCTCTACGTATTGTTTCTCTATGTCTCGGAGACGATAGTATGGGCGGTCCTCGTTCCTGTCGATAGTCAGTCTATCAATATGAGCGCCTATATTAGCCAGGATACACGCGACTTCATTCCCGGTACGTTCTTGCCACTCTCCTAGGGCGCGAGTTATCATATTTGCGAGAACTCGTTTTACCACCTCGGTGATGCGAAGGATCCTTACCCTGAAACAGTAGGGCATTTCGGAACCAACTTCTTCGGATTCTTCTTGGGCAATATTTTTGAACCGACGTAGTAGTTCACAAATATCTTCTAAGAATTCCGGGACTTGGCCCCAGGTCCGGGGTTCTCGTGAAGAGATCTGGCTTGGGAAATCAGTCGCTCGGCTAGGTGTTCTCGTATTATGACCACATGGCCTGCCTTTGACTTTTTGGGTCGGCTTTTGCGGTCCACGCCAGAGCGTTTCTCCATCTTGAGGGTGTATATATGGAGAAGTATACTAGTGGTAGTTCTGTGTAAATAGTAAGAATCGAATATATCGCGTTATGATCAAATAAAATAGAGGGATGCTCTCGAGTAGTGAATGGCAGTGAGGTATAGTTATTAGTAGACTTCCTGCTAACCCTCCTTCAATTTATGCCTCTCGCTGCTGACAAGGTACTACCATTTTATAGCTCAATGGCTGGTTTGTTGATTTGGAACAAAAAGTCATTGTCTCGAAAGGCCCTCTGAGATATTCTTTGAGCCTTCAGACCTTGTTCTAAACAGTAGCTTTGATTTCTTTGATCATAAAGGCTTTGTCCCCCTTATGCCAATTAATAAACCGGCACATTGACAAGCGGCAAAAGCAAAAATGAGTCCTCTTCATTCTTTCATCTGCCCTGTAACTACAACAGGAAGGCTGGCATGGCAGTCGGTAAGCTAGTCCAGAAAAAATGGCAGGTTCCACCTTTGAACTCCCATTCCGGCGATCTTGAAGCAAATCGGAGAATAGTCTGGTTGCTTGCATTGTACTAATAGATTCCCATTCTATACCTCGGAATGAACGATCAACTTTCATTGAAGACAGCCAAGGAGCTCTAATGAAGGTGTGAAATAAGGCGAGATTGATGAAGAAAGGTGGAGGTGACATTAAACATGGTATTTTAACTCCTAGATAATACGTATTTGATAGTATTTGATAAATGAAAGGGTATGATATGGGTATGGGTATAAGGGGTGAATTGGGGGGTCTGATTGGCCGATCATGGCCATAATTCTGCTTTTTAAATTACAAATTGTTTATTTGCAGCGTTGTTCTATTGATTTTTGGCATCCGACAGGGGTGTGTTAAGGCTGGTATGTCTCAGGCATTCAGGACGCCACGCCTTTTGTTGAGATAGCTGCTTTTCTCTTAACATCTTTACCGCCACCACCAATCACTTCACTATCATCATCTGGATTCCCATTCCTCATCACTTTCTCCTTCCCAGGGTTACCCCGGCTGTCCTCAACCGATCTGTCAGAGTCGATATCGTCAATTCTGCTGTTTGAATACTCGGAGGCTTGAGGGGATCCTTTATCCTCTACCACTGGCGTTGCTTTGGACGTTCTATTATGAAAAAGTCTTTAGTTCGCGCATATAGAGGGAATTCAAAGAGAAGGAGAGAGAATACACACTAGCTGTACCAAGGTTGTTCTCGTAGAATTCATCAACAGTGGTCTTGTGCATCTCTTTCAGTAATAGATCGAGGGTATGCGGGGGATTACCCAGGGGAGAATCATGGAAACAACCTTGGAATGGAAGGAACTGTCACATCATAGGGGCGTGGGGAAATTGCATTCCAGTTGCGGTAGATAGTAGTAGTGTGGGTCTGCCTTCCGTTTTATATGCTTCGGGAACTGTGACCAAGATCAACGACATTTAGTAACATGACTCGGAGAGAAGGACATCAGGAAGAAGAGGTAGAAGTACTAGTAGTAGTACTTGAATCATATTCAACTTTGAACCATCATGATGGTAGTATGTAGTAACTGTACAAAATAACGACAGATATATCATCTATGGTCGCTAAACGCAAACGCAAACGCAAACCCAAATCCGTTGGCACACCTCACAGGCAACCCGGGGATAAAACGAATCCCCAAAAAAAGAAATGAAGAAAGATTGAACCGGAAAAGAACAAAGATATCAACCCGATATCTCATGCACATCACATCAAAGCTTACTACTTTACAGCTTGGCCTTCTCGGCCTGGGCAGCCAGGTCGGGCATGAGGAGGTCGCGCATTTCGGTGGCGGCCTCGTTCAGGAAGTAGCTCATGCGGTGGGCACCGAGACGCTTGCAGACGATGTTGAAGTTGAGGCTGGGGAGAAGAATGTTAGTATTTGTTTTCATTTTCATGTTCATTCGCACAAAGAGCGAAGGGTGGGCTCACCTGTTCTCGTTGATCATGTACGCAATTCCGAATCCATCGTCAATGACCTGGCTCCACCCGTATCCGTTGAAGTACTCGGAGCTAAGCTGGGAGCTGGAGATGTACCAAGAACCGGAGTAAGCGAAGGCGGGGTCCTCGTACAGCGCGGGCAACTTCTCGCCGGGCTGGAGGAGCTTCTTCAGGCCGAAGAGGTGGCGGTCGACACCGCGGCCGTCACTGGCATCCATGGTGTACTTGGTGTGCTGGGCCAGAGCGGCGCGAAACAGCTTAACGACTTCCTCACGCGGAGTGTTGGTGTCGTGGTGGGCCTTGCAGAAGGCGGTGCTCTCGTCGGAGACGGTACGGGTGGTCTCGGTACGGCCTTCTTGGAACTTACGGGTCGAGGCGGACTCGTAGGTAGGACGGTTCTTGCCGTACATCTTGAAGTAGGCCAGTTGGATAAGCATCTGGACGTAGGCGTCGGGGCTGCACTTGAACTTCTTGATCAGGCCCTTTCCGTAGCCCTGGTAGGCTTGGACGACAAGCTCGTGCGAGGCAATTTGCTTGCGGTGGTATTGGGCTGCGATGTCAATGGCTTCGTTGGACTCGTCATTGAGGTGGAATCTGATGGCCTTGGGGTCGGGGAGCTCGGCGCGGACAGACTTGGCGGAGAGGTCGATCTTCTTGTTGAAGATCAGGTTGTTGACGTGGTCGTTCAGACGGTGGGTGGGAGTTCCGTCCATCATGGAGTGCTCACCCATGAAACCGGCGGTACCGTTGTCGTTAATGATGAACTGCAGGGGCTTGTCGAACCAACGGTTGGCACCATCTCCGTGCCAGTACTGGTGAGCGCGCTCCTCCAGGGTGACAGGCTTGGCATCATCCAGGCAGATGACGAAGCCACTGGCCTCGATATCCTTGAGAGCCTGCTCGTTGGCAGGATCAGCGGCAACGAGCTTCTTGCGGGCAGCGGTCCAGTGGTCGCGGTCAGCCACAGTCAGCACACCGACCGGCGGGGCGGGCTGGGCGACATCAATGATGCGCTGGAACTGCTGCTCCAGCTCAGAGACGTTCAGGGCCTGGCCGTTGACGACCAGAGGCACCTTGAAGAACTGGTTCTTGCGAGCAACGATGATGTGCTGGTTCTCGGCGGCAGAGTACTTGCGGGGGAAGTCGGCGGGGTCGGCGGGGATACGGCAGCAGTTGAACATGTACTCATACGAGCTCATAGCCATGGGCTGGCCACGCATGTACTCGGGCTCGAGGGAGCCAGCGTCAACCTCCGCCTTGAATTCCAAGGCAGCGGTGGCAATGGCAGCGGCACGCTTGGCGGGGCTGCGACGCTCCCGATCATCCTTGTAGGAGTAGAAGTAGGAAACGTAAGGGATAACGGGGTCCCGGTAGCCCAGGTAGGCGGCCTGGTTCCACCATTCGGCAATCCAGTTGTTGACCTTGGGGTCGGCAGCGCGCTCAAGAAGACGCTTCTGCAGAGGCTCACCCTCACCGCCGGGGCGGATGAAGGCCTCGACGGCACTTTTTGTGCGCTCGAACTCGGAAGAGGAGACAAGTGGGTGGACCGACTTCAGATAGCGGCGGCCGGTCTCTTCGAGCGAGGGGACCGGGAGGGGGGGCAGAGAGTCCTCAAATCGGAGCATCTTGCCCTTGGAGAGATCCTCCTTGTATCCTGAGAAAAAGCGAGTCAGTCATTATTCTGATCGCCCGGGCTATAGATCTGATCATCTCCTTGCGGGAGGTCTATACGGATTGCGGAGTTGCCCCGCGGAGACATGTGATATCACTCACCCTCAGGAACGGAGGAAGCCTGTCGTCGAGGAGCCATAGCGGGAGTCTATGCAAATGTCAGTTTCCAATTGCTCGCAGGAGACAATTTGCAGCACAGGATCGTCAAGACGAATGCTATGCGCTTTGCAAATGTCGGAGGTGGCCGACTTACTGAGCGGGCGAGTAGTGATGTCGGAGGGAGCCGGGGCCTTGACAGGGTGGAGAGACGGCTTCGCGCAGCAGCAGCGAACATCCCTCTCAGCAGTGAAGAAAAAGGAGGTTGGGGTATAAGAAGGGAGGAGAAGGAAAGGAAAGGGGAAAAAGAAGTGTCGAAGGGAAAGTTAAGCAAATAAGAGAGTGAAGAGACAAGGAGCTACGAATGCCTCGGCTGTCTCAAGGCCGAAGAGCGGCGGTCTAGGGCGGTCAGGTCTGGTCACGTACGGTCACAACTAAACCGAGTCGGTCCCGTCCGGCCTACACTTTAACTCGGCCCGGCGGCATTACTTCCCGTGGAAAACGGTTACAAACGGTAAATACCATTACCAACCAGTGGCACACAGACGGCCGTATCGGTCATTTGGGCCTCGGTTGAAATGGGAAACACTGGGGAATTTATACAGTGCACACATGGGGGGTAGATCACCGAAGATCTACCGAGGAAATTGGCAGTGAGTTGGATATTTTGGAACTGACAGATACAGATACAAAATTGAAAATGCGAAACCCCTAAAAAATGAAACAACAAGTTATCGTACGAGACGGATAGACTTTGGCGATCGCGGCGACTGGCAATGCGGGGAGAGCTTCTAGCGTCGGTCATCTCCGCTGGCCACCGAGTATGGGGTAGTAACTACTAGTATACTCCGGACTACATCCATGGATACTACAACTTCAATACGATCCCTCATGTCAAATACATATAACTCTCCACGGAGATAAATTAGTGCTACTAAATACTCGAATAATAAAGATCATATGAGGGAAGGGGGCTTGCCCACATCCCTTCATCCGTTCCCCCGTTCCCGTTGACCCGGATGCCCAAAGCTCCAATCCAACGCGCAAAAACGCTATTCGCAGGTATCAACGCCCAGGTAAGGTTATGTCACATACCCGGGCAATCAGGGATAGACAAAAAGAAAAGAGGGAGTAAGAAAAAACCAAAAGAAGAAAGAAAAGGAAAACGCCATAAGCACTCGGGCTTAAAAAACACCCACCCGCAGAATAGAAAAGAAATCAGAGCAAAGAAGTGGAAGAAGTCACGGGAAGAAAGGGACAAAAAAAGAGAAAGAATATTCATCAGCCCAATGGCAATGCTCCCCTTCCCTCTTACGATACCGGCTGCACAGGCGTTGGCTGCTCCTGGCTATCAATAGTCCGGGGAACCTGCACCCCACTTCGGCGAAGCTCATCCATCTTCGCCATAGCGGGTCCTGTACAGATACGGCCCGTCTGCATCAAATTGCGCAGACGTTTCCGTCGGGCCTCGCCGCTCCGCTCCTCGCCCCGAGCAACGCCTTCATCAACCCACTCAACCCGCTGAACCTTGAAACTCATACCATCATGGCGGCCCACCCACTTGCGGGATTTAACGCCAAACATGATAGCTGCGTCGTAGTTCTCCAATCGTGGGAGAACCAAGAGGGTGATATGCAGGTCTTGATTCGGAGGGGGGATGGGTGGGAGGCGGGGTCCGTCGTCGGCTGGTGCATCATCGCCATTTTCTTTCGAAACGCCGTTGGTTTTGTTGGTGGAGGTGGTTTCTTCCTTGGGTGGGCAATGTTGGTATATATCTTTGATTTCGAGGTCAAGCATTGATTCATCCACATCCTCGCCCCAGGCTCCACGGATGAATCCTGAGTGGATGGCTGCCGCGACCGGATCGGAATCATCCGTGTACACGCCAGTTCCCCACAAAGCGCGACGCGCACAGATTTCTTCCCGGTGGCTTGTGTCAATCCGGAAGCGCGGTACCCGAACTGTAAAGGTGCAGTTCTCCCGTTGCTCGAAGCGTGGCAGAGGTTGGGGGGTGCTGGTGTACCCGAATTTGGAGCTCTCTGCCGAGGCCTTCGCGCTGGGAACGCTAATGCGAGGGGTGTACAGAGTTGAGCCTAAGTGGTGTCGTGGTAGGTGGGCCACACTTGACAGCAGCGGCTCGAGGTTGACAGTGGTACGAGGTTCCCGTAGAGGAGGCACCGGGGCCGGTTGAGGAGGATGGTGATGGTGGTGATGGTGATGATGAGGGTGGTGATGGTGGTGATGCCCCGAGGCTTCGGCGGGAGTAGAAGTGCGGTTGAAGTAGTTCGTAGACGATAGGGGACGGTGTAGACCAGCCAAGGCGGAAGCTTCCTCTTCGGGTTTGTGCCGGTGATGATGGTGGCTAGAAGGGGTTAGCTTATGTTGCTTTCATCTGAAAATATTGCAGAGAAGGAAAAGAGATACGTACTGGTGATGATGGTGCGGGTGACGGGCTCGACGACTTCCGCGAGCAGATGATGCTGCTCCGCCGTTCAAGTCCATTTGAACATCTTCATCT